CTCGAGAAGACCAGTGACGATCAGAGGAAATTGCAGACTGAAATGGGTCTCTGATTTAATAGGGCAAGATGGTACCTAGGATGTTGCACAGATCAGGAGGTGCTTCCTGAACATAGACACTGAGTTAATCTTATCGATTTGTCTTTCTCCCCGCCAAGAAGAAGACTTTCTAGCTTGGCACCCTGACAAGTCTGGGCGGTTCTCAGTCCGGAGTGCTTATAATCTTGCCTGTAGGCTGGCAAATACTGAAGGATCCTCAAGTTCCTCTGCTTTGCATTCCCGCAAATCCTGGGATTTAATTTGGAAGTGTAAGCTCCCACAGAAGATTAAAATCTTTGCCTGGAAAGTGGCCTCCAATTGTTTAGCTACCATGGACAACAAAAGGAAAAGGAAGTTGGTAAACTCTGATATCTGTATCATCTGCAACCGAGAGGTGGAGAATTCTGTGCACGCTCTCTGCAAATGTCCCCGAGCCAGTGCCTTGTTGTCGGATATGGTACAATCAGGTAACTTGTCGCTTGATTTGGTGAATTTCCAATTCGGCAATTACTGGCTGTTTGATTGTTTGGAATATCTACCAACCGAAGAACATGAGATGTTTTTATTAACTCTCTGGCGAAACTGGTATGTGCGTAATGAAATCACACATAATAAGCCGCCTCCTCCGCTGGAAGTCTCCAAAAGATTCCTGGAAAGTTATATTGCTACTCTATTCCAAATCAGGGAATGCCCCCACGCTGATCTGGAAAAAGGTAAAACTGTTGTTAGCAGATCTGTTATAAGTGCGCTTAGAAGAAGAGGACCAGATGGTCCTCCTGCTGCATCGACCCATTTGCACTGGGAGAAGCCGAGGCTGGGCTGGATGAAACTCAATGTAGATGGCTCATTTGATGCTGATTGTGGGAAGGGAGGTATCGTTATGATTCTACGGGACAACAGTGATAGTATAGTTTTTGCAGCATGTAAGTCCCTGGATAGCTACAAGAATGCCCTGGAGGCAGAAATCCGAGCTTGCATGGAGGGATTGATTTTGGCCCTACAGTGGACTATGCGCCCTATCTTGATTGAAACAGATTGTGTTTCGCTAGTCAATCTTCTGAAGGAAGGGAATAGGGATCTGTCTGAATTAGCTAATTTAGTCCAGGAGATTAAACGCCTGTTATCAGAGCGTAGGGAAGTGTTGGTTACCAAGATCCATCGTAGCCAAAACGGTGTTAGCCACCTTTTAGCTAATAGGGCTAGGGCCGATTCAATTTCTGGGCTTTGGCCGGAAGGAAGTTGTAATTTCATTTCACAGCTAGTCTGTGAGGACGTTTTGAATGAGTAATACACTTTTTTCCCCGCAAAAAAAAAGAAATTGACTAGTTTTACTTTGTGATTGCTACTGGCGTACCCCTAACAAGTTTTATGGTTGAGCAACTAGTTAACGACATGATAACTTGACTCATATTTCATTAGGGTAAAGTTGATCTATAGCTAGCCACAGGAATCCAAACTTAGCAACTTTGTATTTGGCCTACTCATGACCGAACAATCAGGTGTTTGCAGTAAAGATATAAGTCTAACTACTCCAAAGTCATCTAGAAATGACTAGAGGTGATGAGGACATCACTGTTTCAAATATAACCATACTTATGTTACATATTAACAAGTAAAAAGTGCATATGTTCTATATTAGGTTTACTTATTATATGTTTTAACAAACGATCGCAGTAGGAACCTCTCATGTTGTTTTCCATAAAAAAACAAACATTACTACACCATGAGTTTTGTATCTTCTTGTTTCCATAAATACTTGCATGGGTGAAGGAAAGGAGAACATGCTCACGAAGTGCTTGGATGATCAAAGAAATTGATTGGGGACCAAACCAAGATCTTCTCCAAGTCTAGTCCCAAATCACCACGTCACTTTTGGTCCATAAAAGGCAAAAGATGCAGTTTTACATGTTTTGGATTTGGATTCAGGCCTTCTGATTGTATTAACTTCAAATGGGCTTAGCTATTGATCCCAAAGGACTCTCAGGGCCCATGAGTACTTGTGGGGAAAATTATAGAGTTTAATTTCAGATGGTTTTGGTCTCACATCAAAATTCATATCAAGTTGTTGGGAATATGCAACACAAGTCATGTACCTCATCTAGTCCGAGTTTGATTTAGGCCTTGGGCTTTATAATTGTGTCATAGGTTAAGTTAAATAGGGGGTGTGTATCCTAGGGCTAACCCTAGTACGTCCCTAATCCTATTTATTTAATAGTCGTCATTGTTTAGAGTTGGGTTTTGCTTAGATTCTGTTGTTGTAGTTTCACCGCTTAGTTCAGTTTGTGGAACATCAATTTGTGAGCTTCATCATATATTAATAATATATTCAGATTGCTTCTTCTACTCTCTTGCTTGTGTTCTCGATTCACTTGCAGGAGATAGCCTTATCGACAAGGTCAATCATGTTTCGGCTTGATTAATAACCAATGGATGAGTGGTGTAGTGATTTCGAGGGTTCGGTTGTCATGATCTGAGCCTTTGGATCATCAACTTCAAGTCTCCATAATCGACTTATCAATACCTATCGGAAGATCGGGATCCTACTTCCTCATCAAGAAGCAACCTACCTGAAAGACGAGGTGTCAGTGATAACTGAAAGAGCATCTAGGCCCCTAATGAGTTTTAGCTAATTGATGACAAACAATTAAGGGACTAATGCACTTATTGAAGGAATAAGTAGGAGATTGGTCCAATGATGGCACTGAAGATGAAGATGGAATTTAACCAAGTTTCATTGTGATATAGGGAAACATGTGACTAAAGATGGTAAAATGGGGTGAAGGGTTGGCAAGACTTGATTAAACAAAGGACCATGCATTGGAGAAGAATAAGGAGAGGCATGGTGCTGAAGGACCGACGCAATGGTGAAGGAGCAAATGCTTGGCTGAATGCAGACAGATCGATTGAGTCCATAAGAGAAGTCACGTGTTGTTGATGATTAATCTTTGTTGAAGTGAAAGTGAGCAGAAAAAAGCTTGAGTCGAACAATAAAATTGGAGTCTAACAGTCTAGGTGAAGATGTTCAACAACCCAGGAGACAAGCCATTCTAGATCTTTATCGAGAACCTCACATAGTCACAGATGAAGTAACGATTGAGAAAGAGTTTGAAAAAAAAACACCATATTAGAAAATAGACCCAAGTCTACATATGGAAGACGACGAATTGTAGACTATCTAAAACCCTAAGGGCATTGGCAATGTATATAGATGAAGTGGTCTTTTATAGGTAGGGCATGTGTGTGAGTAAACTTTAGCTGTTTCTATTACCACAATGCTTAAGGCCTAGATGGACTTTATAAGAGAGAATCCCTTATATGCCACTCTAAATTAACCGGCTCCCTTATATGCCACTTTAAATTGGCTTCTCCCTTTTATGCCACCGGTTCAAGTTTCTCCTCCCTTTTATGCCATTGCCGTCAGTCCACCGTCAGTTGACCGTTAACTTCATTGTACAAAGATGCATTTTCCCTTAAGAATTAGTATACAACCAATAATAGGCATTTTAGTACTAATATAGCTATTGGATACAACATATGAAAATTGATTTTTTTCTGCATCACATGCAATTTTAGCCATTACCATCACAAATAAATTTTCAATGTAAGCATGAAACATGCAGTTTTCTAACAATATTTTTAATATAAAGAGCATTTTTCACTGGTTCTGACAAAATTTTGTTCACTCAAAAAGGATTTAAAATAAATTAGTTATGATTTTTTGAAGTTTACACATTTTTTAGTTGAGAGGGCATATTGGTCATTTACGAAAAAAACTAACCTTTGACTAAAGGTCAACTAACACTATTGTGATGGGAGTGGCATAAAAAGGTGGAAAAACTTAAACTAGTGGCATATAAGGGAGAAGCCAATTTTAAGTGGCATATAAGGGAACTGGTCAAATTCTAGTGGTATATAAGGGATTCTCTCACTTTATAATGGGCCTCACTAGCAAAAAAAAAATCGCAGAAGCCCAAGCGTTCATCCCTTTTCCCATTTCCTCTTCCAGTCTTCCTCGAATCGCTTCCTTTTCTACTGTTGTCACTCTCTCCTTGCCATCGCTCCTCGTCCCTTCCTCTGTGGTGTCGTCTACCATCATTTTTTCAGTTGTATCAATTTTTATTTGCCCAAATCGAGCTCCTTGGCACTCAGATCAACTCCTCCACAGGCCAAATTGACCTCGAAGTCGTGGTCCTGGCAGCTGGCGGAGCACCGACAATAGTGACACTTAAGGGTGGATCTGACAATGGTAGCGACACTTGCATCACAGGAAGAGTATGCCGCGGTGTCTTGCATGATGGATCCACAACGATGGCAGTGGCATCGCTCGTAGATGCATCCGATGGCAGTGGCATTCGCGGGTGGATCTGACGACGACAATAGTGTTCGCGAGTAGATTTTGGCAATGGCAATGCCTCGCACCACGGACCTGGAACGATGGCTTTGGCATTGCTTCGGGGCTACCAGACGTCATTGCCTACTTCCCATTTTCTTGTCCATAATGACAACCAACTAGGGAAAGAGACAATAACACAAAATGAAAAGCGATGGATTATTTTATTACATAGCATGCAAAAAAAAATCATACAAATAACAACTACTTGTCACACTGCCATTAAAGAAAATAATTATTGAATACATGTATAATTTTTCTTCGATCTCTCACTCACTTTAAAATTAATTATATTTTATTTCTCACTTACATGTATATTTTATTAATTATATATATATAAGTATGACACGCACCATGAATCCGATAAGCCCTATATGCTCTGAGAATGATCTACTTCCTCCGTAAAAAAGAATAAACTTTCTAGAGATACTTTTAAACGGATGATGTACGACATAGATACAGATTTATTTTTCCTAAATACTATGCCCACCCAACAAATTAGCAATGCTGCCAGCCACTGGCAATCCAGTGATAGTGAGCACCCTAGCTAGTTGTACTAAAATAAACCCTAGTTGTACTAAAATACATGCTGCACAGAACCTTTCTTCTCTACCAAAGTCCAAACTTGCCAAGTTCATCCATCCTCCCCTTCCCCCCTCCGATCCCCTCCCATCCCCTCCCCGCCGCCTCGTGCGATCGATCGATCGATCGATCCGCACCACCCACGCGCCCGATTCGCCCTCCTACCCAGGCCACCTCTAACCCTAGCGCCGGCGGCTCTTCTCCCCCGCCGCCACCGCCGCTCCAACCCTCCCCAACAGTGGGTTTCTCTCCCCCCCAATCCCCTCCCCTCTACCGCCGTCGATCGACGCGCCACCAGGAGGGGAGCAGGACGAAAGCCGGTGCTGCCTACCGCCTCCGCAGGTACCTCATCGAGCATCGGTCGGAGTGCAACCGGAGTGCCAAGGTCAGCGAACGCCTTTCCCCCCTTTTAATTCTCCTCCTTCCTGTGGTACATGATTATAGTTAATCAAATTGCCTTCTTAATGTGTGCTTTTAGCTCTACATTTCCGTGGATCTGAAACTTGAGCTGTTCACCGTGTTGAATTACACGGTCTGTGTAATTTGGTGTGGTCATGTCATGCAGCAGAGATTTGTTTCATTAGTCTCCACTGTGATATACATGTGTTCAAGATTAGTACTAGATTACATACATACCTGCAGCACGAATGTAAAGTAAAAAGAATCATTAATCTTGAGCATGAATCCGTACGTTTTGGCCCTGAATAGCTAGCTCGTGGAGAAGATAGATAGGGAACTAGATCACTGTGCACGTTTAGAGGATTTGCAGGTCTGATTGTGCTAGAACAATTTTATTTTAGTAATGTTACTACGTTAGACATGAATTCGGCTTCTTGTTAAATGTTGCCTTGAATAGCAGAAAGTTAATGTCCAGGACCTTAAAGTTGACGGCAATGGTGTATTCCTAAACATTTGTAACTTTGGGTGGTACTCCCTCCGTTCACAATTGATTGTCATATTACCAAAACAGAAATATCCATATTTGATCGTCGCCTAACGTCTTGAGCCAGCAGATTTCCTTTTTTTTTTATTGCTGCATGCGTGTATGGATTAAATTGCGAGAGAGTCTCCTGAGATTTACTGCTTAGCATGCATGCATAGATTTAATGAAGAGTGATTATTGCCGTATTAGTTAAATCCCTCCGTGATTCTGGTTGGTCTAGCTCCATGCACCACACGCGGAAGCCGAACCGGCACTGCGGCAGTCTCCTTGATCCACGCTGCTGTTGTGTGATTTATTTCTCCCTTGGTATTGCTGCGCATACCTAATATGATGATCAATTGTGAATGGAGGGAGTATTAGAGAGTAGCAGTGACCTCACTTGGGTTCTTTCTATGTCACCAAACTTGTAAAAATCGATTCTTATGATCTGTAACCCTAGCAAACAGTGCCACTATGGCAACAAGAGAATCGCCACTATAGCTCAAGCTAGTCTCGTACACTGCCGCTGGAGATCGGGAAGCTGAACCTCGGTTGCTACCATTTCATCTCGAGCTCCTACAATCTGTTGTTGATCTCATCCAGCTGCCGCCTGAGATTGGGTCATCGGAGCTTGGCTGCCTGTGCTAGAACTCAGCTCATCCAGCCCTGGCCGCAGATTGAGCTCAAGCTGCTGCCACCACACCTATCTTACTACAGCAACCGATTCACGTGACAGGTAGATGATGTAGAACGGGGGATTGCTGAGGGTAAGAACGATGGGGTTAAGGATAAAATGAGAGGAGTGGGTAAGTGAAAGAAATGATAGGTGGAGCTGCACTGTAAGAGAGAGTAATATAGATAAGGAACAGGACTGGCACCATGTCATCCTCCATGTAGATTGCCACGTTGGTGAAACTGTCTCCAGAACTGTCATAGAGGGTTATATCGGACTCTTTCTCTAGATTTAATGAGCTGCCAACATTTGATGACTACATTGGAGCTTAAAATACAGACATCTGTGTTTGATTATAGTGAGGAATAAGTGGAGTGTAACCTCCTGTTTCAGATGATATGACGGGAATGTCTGCTCCCCCCCTTTTTTCTGATTTTACAGCCCAGCAAGTCATAGCCTTAAAGGTTAGAGGAAAATGTTATTTACTTGTGGCATGCAAACCGAAGTTTATGTTTTTGAGTTTTGACTAATGTTCTTTCAATCTGTATCCTTACGGTATTTAGTATTTTAGTATTTATGGCAACAAATATTAATGATTGGACATATTGATCCTTTCTCAGCAAAGGGTATTATTTGAATAGTCTACAAATAATTTAATTAATTCTTAAGATTACCTTTTTTGTTAATTTAATTTGTTAAATGCTCCATGCAGGTGTATTTCATGGATTCTTTTCAACATGGTATATTCTGCACAACCATTTTCACAACTTTCTTATATTATAAGCTGATCTATATGGTAGACCTGACCATGTACTTTTTCTAGGCATGGATGCTGATAAACACCACATTTTTGGGGAGCGTGGCAATATGATTCAGTTAAATGTAAGCTATCCTCTCCCAGTTTTCTGCTGTCTAGTCTAGCAAGCTTTTTCTGACACTTCCTTTATCCTTTTGTCTACAGATGTGTGCATCTGATGGTCGTTCTGTTGGTATGTTTTTTTTTGGAACCTACCTTTCCGTACCATGTATGCACTTCTTTAAAGACTGGCTAAAGCCTGGATGTTTATTATGGGTAAAAATGAATAGTAGATATGGTAATATTGTTTGAAATTTATGAATAAGTTCTTTCTGTTACGCCTTTCATGCTTTTGTTACAGAGTGCTTGACAGTTTTTGCTATACTGTATTTGTAAAATTAGCTTTCATGCTACATATAAATGTGACTGTTTGGTCACCATATGCCTTAGTAGGACAACATAACAAAGAAGAATATATTTTAGGGATATTGTATAATATTGAAGAACTTCAAGAAGTATTTCGTAAATCAATGTTGTGCATAGTTGTTTGGATGACAAATGAACTGCTACTACTTCCATTGCCTTCTTTTAAAGGAGTACAGATAAAGTCTATTTGACCATGATGAACAGTAGTTGATACCCAACGGCTGGTGGCATTGCTGAATGTAGAAGTAGACATGGTAAACAGTCTGTTGGGAACATAGTGTAACAATGATTTTTCCCATTTAAATGCCTTTCTGGAGTTTACCTATTAACCATAATGTAGTTGACTGAGAAATAAGTGTGGAGAAGCTTTAGTTCTTGGATAAATTTGAATATGTTTCAATATTTGTCTAATGCATACATCTTTCTTGGGTTTTTGTTTTTTTGTTCTTATTAAGCAGTTGGACAACGATGCCAGAGACTTGGGTGTAACAATGTTGTTGAAGGCCAGACATTGCTCTGTAAAAGTCACAGTATAGGGCAACGATGCCAAATGCTTGGCTGCCCTCATATTGTACCAGATGGCTCAGTATTATGTATGTCCCATGGTGGAGGTCGCCCGCTTGGTGAACCTGGTTCCAGTACAGTAGCTTGCTCCAAATCAGAAATTTCAATCAAGTACGAAGGAGAGAGTGGGTTCAGAGTAACCCAAAATGCTGGGAATGATCTGGGTAGTGCAGGAATCTATAATCCTGATGGTGATGTTGTGATGTGCAAGTACCAGGGTTGCAGCAAGCGAGCCCAGGGAAATGCAATGTACTGTAAGATTCACCGCGGCGGTTCAAAGGGCTGCATGGTTCAAGGTTGTACAAAGGGTGCACATGGGGGCACACCTTTATGCATTGCTCATGGCGGAGGCAAGCGCTGCGCTGTCACTGGATGCCCCAATGCAGCATGTGGCAGCAGTCAAGGCCTCACTGACCGCTGTGTAAGGCATGGTGGTGGAAGGAGGTGCAGGTTTGATGGTTGTGTGAAGGGTGCCCAAGGGAACACAGACTTTTGCATTGGACATGGTGGGGGAAGACGCTGCAAGTTTGAAGGATGTGGTAAGAGTGCACAAGGGCGGAGTGATTACTGCATCAAACATGGTGGCGGCAGGCGCTGCAAGTTTCAAGGATGTGCCACGAGTGCAAAATGGGGCATGGATTTCTGCTCTTTGCACAGAAAGAGCTTGATGAGCGGCAGCAATTCTTCCCATGAAATGCTGCCAGCGCCACCGCCCAAGCGCCGGGCCAAGAAGACCAAGACCGCGGTTGGTCCATCTGGTCTCTCCAGTGACCCCAAATCAGCAGAGAGTGTGATGATTAAGCATGCTTCCAATGCGGGTCACCAACAACAGCCGATCCACTCTATGAAATCCTCGCCGTCTTCTGGGTTAACTGCTTCAACTGAGGGTGATGTGGCGGCGAGGAGCCATGCATTATTTGGACTGTAGATACCTTGTTGATGCATAAGAGTGGTTTCGCATAGACTTGTTAACTAGGGGGATTAGCTGTGAACTGAAGTGAAGATAAGGATCATAGGAGATCCACTTTTTATATTAACATGCTTTCACTGTCAGTTGACTTGAGTAGAACTGTGCATTGTGTTATCTGCAAGGATTATCAACAAATTTAAATCTGCATAGTACCTATGTATGTGGTTCTGTCCTCTTTGATGTCTTTTCTATGATTTCAGTCTGCTCGAGGAATCGTTTATTCTTATGCACCTTTTCTTTTTCCTTCTTTTCCCCCACTTTTGTAATGAGAAGTTTGTTTGGGAATTATCAGTCCTTTCTATGCTGGCGGTTTAAGGTTCATCAAAGATCGTGTCTATCTCTGCTACACTTTGGTGGCTGTGTTCGGCGCCCCTCGTTCCCAGCACTATAAGTGCGCACGGAAAACGGAGTGGTTCGTTAGTGCGTGATTAATTAAGTATTAGCTATATTTTTTTAAAAAAATAGATTAATTTATTTTTTTAAGCAACTTTCGTATAGAATTTTTTTTGCTAAAAACGCACCGTTTATTAGTTTGAAAAGCGTGCGTGCGGAAAACGAGAGAGGAGTGTTGGGAAAAGGGAGTGCCGAACACATCTCTATATAAAAACACACACACAAAAGAACTAGTGCTTCTACGTAAAAATTGACCACCAATAAAACCATTGGGGTTAAAATATATTGAACGCTATAAACCATTCATCCGTATTCACGTGATGCTAGTAAGATGAAAATATTGAGGTTAAAAAACGCACAAAGGTCCATGATGTGCCGAGGAGATAAATCTTCGCTCAGAGACGAAGTCTAAAGGATTGCCTTTTAGGAGGCGATAGAGATTGTGATGATGAAGTGACCAGCCCAGCCCAGGGCAGACAAGGTGACGAGATACCAAAAGAGAGATCATCTACCAAAAGAGAGATCATCTAAATCTGAAGAGTAAATTTTCTGTATACCCTTGAAAACTCACGCAATCTCTTTTATACCACTCAAATTTACCTGATCCCTTCTATACTCATGAATTTTTAACTTGATCCCTTCCATGCCCCTGCCGTCACATTTTCCTTCATTTCACCAATTAAGTTGGTGGCAAATATCTTTTAATGTGCTTGATGATTTAGGTTTAAATATGACCTTGAAAACTATTGTAAATTTTGTTTGAGTGCACAATATATGCATTTTAGGTAGAAAATGAGACTAAATAATTAGTGCGGAAAATTTTGACATAAATCTTAAAAATAAAACAAATGTAATAAAATAAAATTTTTATTTAAAATTTAATATGACAATATATTTTTTATTGGGAGCATTCATAAAAAAATATGGTGAGCATTCGCAGTCCTATCTTTGTATGAGTGCTCCTCATTTTTATAACTTTTTAAGAAGTGTAAATTATACCCACAGTATAACAAGTTGATAGGTGGGTACGATGTAGTACACGAACTTGAGAATGAGACGTTTAAGTACAATAACATGGAAAGTGGGTATTTAGTATTTTGGTGCAATAACTTAACTAGATATGCTATTTTGGTTAATGAGTGCTATGTAAGTTTTTTCACAATGTTAATATGTCATCACATAGCAATCCCGTAGATATTATCTTACAATGTTTGATGTAATTTGTAAGAATATATTACTCAATTTGCACCATTGATTTAGATATTATTTTCACCATCTCAAATACCAACTTAAAATTTCTACACAGTAAAATTTGTTTGACTTTTAATTACTAGAATGAAAAAAAAAGTATGCTTGTACAAATCTACATAAGTATATTAACAACTGAGTACATTAAAAAAAATGATGACATATAGCCAAAAATGCTCAAAATAATTAAGTTTTTACACCACTTCTCAATCAAGTTATGTGCTAAAACCATACCCACCTTTTAATTATTTGTACCCATATGCTTATTTATTAAGTTCTTGTACTAAGTTATACCCACTTGTTAAGTAGTATGCTCATTTCTTAAGTTGTACACTAAGAAATTTACTTAAGAAACAATAAAGTAGTACTGTGGGACGCAGCCACTACTACATCCACTCCACTATTCCACACCAAAATTCCCCAACAAAACCCCTTCCTGCCCAAATCGGCAAAACCCCTTTGTTCCTTCTTTCCCATCATCGTCGTCGGCTCGTCGCCATGGTGAACGCAGGCAACCAACGCGAACGCGGGGTGCTTCTCCGGGCCGCCGCGCCGCGGAGGTGGGAGGTGGAGTTCGCGCGCTACATCCCGGCGCCGCGCCAAGCTGGCCCGCCGGCTCCCCCCGGCCTCCGCCGCATCACCCGCGGCAAAGCAGCTCCGCCACCGCGGGGGAGCGTGGCTCACCGCCGCGTCCCCCGCGGTGCTCCGCGTGTCGAGCCCCGGCCGCCCCTACGTGGGCCCCGTCCTCACCGTCTCCATCGGCGACGTCGTCTACGTCCGTACCGAGAGCGCCCCCCTGGCTCCCTCTTCTTTCCGCTTCTGCTGTGGCCACACCACGTTGTGTGCCACTGTGCTTTGGTTGCATTGCCTGATTTGAAATCAAAGCAAAGGGGACGTTTGTTGGGGAGGAATCTGGGCTATGCGTGACTATATTGGGGTTTAGCCGTTTAGGTTAACGGAAATGCGGCAATGCGCGTGAGCTGACTTTGATTTGGTTCAAGAATCGCTAGGATAGTTGATTCTGGTGGTTGTGCTGCACGGCTGCTCGACCATCGTAAAATGAACATCTTTTTTCATCGTAGGTTCTCCAACTGTTTATCTTGTTCTTCCTGCACGAGATGGAGCATTTGAGGGCTGTTTGGTTGGCTCCCAAAAGTTTATAGCTTGAGTCATTTTTTAGCTCTGTGCAGAGTAGTACATATTTGTTATTATATCTGACTGTACATGTGTACAAGAGGAATCAACCTGGAAATTTAAGTTGAAAAATGTGCTATGTTAGCTGATTAATTTCATCGATGCATACTCGATCTTGTGCTATTTTTATATTTCATTTCGTTGATCCTCTGTGCTATTTTTATTTTTATGTGATCTTTTTGTCACTTAGATGTGATAAGTTAAGGTTAGGCCATGGTATTTGGAAGTTATGTCATGAGTCATGACTGTATGATGATGATATAATGATATATTGCACAGTACAACTTTCTAATTTTGTTTCACACAAGTAACAATGTTTCAGAATATGCTGTAGTGCTGTTATAGTAAATTGTTGTTTTTTTTTCCATTTAGTTATACATGTCATTGCTCATGGTATAGGAGGAGCACTATGTTAACATTCTCAACTTCTCATGGCCGCAAATTGCATGCGTGACACAGTGCTCAATCAGAGGGAGCAGGTTGGTGTTGATCAGCTTCTGTGATAAGTCGAAACAGGCAAGTTCTTCGTGGTCAAAGTTGATTCTACTCACCAATTTGTTGAGTGTCATGATTTCACTATTGCAATGTGGGAAATGGCGTGTGCTCTGATCGTGTAATGGTAGAGGTCATGAGTTCAGGCCAGCACCTTTACCTTATTCGAACATGTCCAGTTTCCTCTTCATGCTCAGTTTTTCAGTGTTTATAATATGATCACAAGTCTTCCTAATAGGTAGCAGTTGTTCTTATGTGTTATTTCTATCCATTTGATTACCTTCACGAACAAAGTTCCGATGCCAAAAAATATTTGTTACTCTTATTTTGTCCACAGATTGAGAAGTTTGCTGTACGTTTCCCACAGCCTTGTGATGCAGAGTCATTCTTGAATTGTGTGAAGGTGCAATTTCTATCTTTCAAATATATTAAGCAGTCCTTTTAAGTTATAACCCTGTGTAGCCCTTCACTGTAATCTTGTAATGTTGGTCTCTGGAGTTAATTCTATGTCAGGATTACCGTTCTTCCTTATTATTTTCATGTTAATTGGGAAACTGTCTTCCTTTTGGTCACATTTATCTGCATATTGAAGTGCTTGCTATTTAATTACCATGTATATAGTTATACTCTAATGGAAAATGTTGGATACATCAATTGATATTTTTATCAAAGTTTGTTATTTTATTATTTGCATATACTATTTATGCACAAAAAGCATGTTTCCAATCTGTGTTGAGTGAATAAAGACTTACAAGTTTCCCCTCAAAAAAGAGAGAAACTCATTTCATTCAAGAATGTTAATATAGCAAGATTACCCATGTTCTTAAGAATGATCAGTGAGTGTGTGACTAGATCTGTCAGTGCTCTGAAGAGGTAATGACGTGGTTATCTGTACTATATAAATTTTGCAAATGATTTCTGCTTAACCTCTATATTTGCATTCGTTGCAGGTCTATACATCAGGTGTTCTTCAAGATGGTAAAGAAAACACCATGTTCTGCTTATTTGTCTTGTCTCTTTTAAATTCTATTCATGACCTATCAAGAATGTTTGACACAGTTGTTGCTGCTAAAGAAATGACTGCTGATAAAGTTGAAGGCGCTGGTAAAGAGATTGATATTACCATAAAAAGAGGTATTATGCCATCTATAAAGGTACCTCATGAAGAATCTTCTGATTTGGTTTCTCATGAAGTCACTGAACAATTTCATGTGTATAACATATATTTTTCTGGTAGAGTTATATGGCCGATGGAAGCTTTCATGATATGTAACTCAGTTATCTTCCTCTTCTCTGGGAGTAAAAAGGCAAATTTTAGTATCCCTCATTAACCCACAAGAGAAACATTTTCTTATTGTCTACATTGTTAACACACTCTCTTGAAAACCAGTGCCATATATTTAATTGACCCTATATTTTTAATATTACTTGCACACTGAATCTTGACAAGTCATTGATGAACTGGGTGGTGACATGTTGCTGCAGATAGCAGAAACTTCTGTGTGCCACAGAAAGACGTTTACTTGTCTATGATAATGAGACTGTTTGGTAGTCTGTTTTTCCAGCTGTTAGGGCTGATCTGAACAGCCCAGCCGTTCGGCTGTCAATCTAGAATGCGTCCTAGCCGTTTGGTGCTGTAGCCACTGCTAGCTAGCTGCTTTAGAAGCTGTAGCAGCTGCTGCAAACAGGCTCAATAAAAACAGTGTATAGTAATGTTGCATGGGTTTATCCACAGCTTGTGCGGTGGAGAATTTTACCTACCTGATACTTTTACTTTCACTGGCAGCCTTTGAATCCTCTCATAGTTGTCAGAATCTGATGCTCGTGCATCTGTTTCTTTTTTACATCTAGGCGGGCGATCATCTGCCTGCGAAAATGCACAGTTTGGTGTTGATGGAGGAAGCTGCTGTGACCCTCGCCAACCTGGAGATCAAAGGACAAATGAGTTGGACCTCCAGCATTGCTGTGGAACAAACAGGTCGCCTCTTTGGTTCTCAGACAACATTGATACCATCATGCTGCCGCCGTTCTGCAATGGTCATGGCAGAGCCAAGCGCGGTCGGGTCCCTGGGTGTGTCAGCTATCTGCTGGCACACGGACATCGTGGTGGCAACCCGGATCGCTGCAGGTACAACGCAGGCCGTGCAACGCCGTGGTATGCCGGTGCAGGGATGAAGCCGTGGAGCGCAATGCCAACTGGATCTCCCTCGGAAGGCGCGAGCACACACCGTTTGCCGGTTTCTGATGAGCAGGAGTGCTATCCGGCTAGCCGCCGGCGGAGGGTTCTGGCCTCTCCCATCCGCCCGTGCATTCTTCTCCGCGCGGGGGAGCTGCCTGACGACAGTGATGGTGAGTCAAGCTCTGACGACAGTGAATGCTGAGGCTTCTTGATTCGGAGGTGTCAGAAACCCAGTACCTGGTGATCGTTTTGACTTTGAGGAAGCTGGGCCTGTTTAGGTCGCGAAAAGAAAAGTTTTGGGTATTACATCGGATGTTTGACCGGATGTCGGAAGGGGTTTTCGGACACGAATGAAGAAACTAATTTTATAACTCGCCTGGAAACCGCGAGACGAATTTTTTGAGTCTAATTAATCCGCCATTAGCACATGTGGATTACTGTAGCACTTATGGCTAATCATGGACTAATTAGACACAAAAGATTCGTCTCGCGATTTCCTCTCTAACTGTGCAATTAGTTTTTCTTTTAATCTACATTTAATGTTCCATGCATGTGTTTAAAGATTCGATGTGATGTTTTTGAGAAAAACTTTTTGGGAACTAAACGTGGAGGTTTTCCTATGGAAGTACAAATTTAACCTACCAATGTACTACCTCCACTTTTAAATATACATATGATGCTTTTTTACTTTTAGATATGATATTTGATTTTTTTTTTATTTATAAAAGTTACTTCCTTCATGTTGATATTATTAGTCGTTTTAGCTCAATCAGCTATGGATGGGAAACTTCGTTGGAACCTTTCTTTTGTCAGATATGGAACAGATATTGCTCTTGCGTATTAAATGGTGTTATTGTTCTCAAATCAACGCTTTGTATACAAATTGCACAGCAAATTAGTGGAAAAACGCGTGCATAAGCACTAACGATTTTTTTTATTTAATTTCCTAGCGGCAAAGCGCGCGCATAAGCACAAACTTTTTTCGGCTACAAAACCTGTGAATAGAAAAGTAAAATTGGCTGGTTTAATTTTCGTATGACCTATGGATGCGCTAGCTGCATGCTAACATGAATAGTTGCTAGGACAATAAATAATACGTGCATCCTAGTGGGAATCAAATTCAGGCCCTACAAACTCTCATACGGAGTAAGATGCATAAACCAACAGAGAGCAATCGTTGTAAGATGCATGAACCAACAGAGAGCAATCGTTATAAGATGCATGAACCAACAGAGAGCAATTGTTGCTGGAGTTTAACAAGGGCATAGTAGAAAATAGAAACTTTGTTCAATGACTTCTTGATCTTTAAGATTATGTCTAAAACGACTAAGGCCCTCTTTTGTTAAAGCTTTTAAGCCACCTTTATAAGCCAAAAAGCCTAAGCCGCCTAAACAAACACTCGGCATTTTCGTTTGGCTTTTTTAAAACCATAAGTCATTATTATATTGTCAAGTCAAGGTTGGAGTGATTTTTTTATTAACATGGAGGTAGGACTTCACAACAAACTTTCACCGGCTAATAACCCATATAAGTCAAAAGGTCGGCTTCAAAGTCTAAGTTCAACAAAAGAGTACCAAATAATATGAAAATGGGGGAAGTATGTAATTTTCATTTGTTTTGTTATGATTTGTTCTTATCATTTAAAGTATTCTAAATGTGATTTATATTTTTTATATTTGTACTAAATTTTTAAATAAGACAAATAATCATTTAAAAACAGAGCATATATATTTGAAAACGGAGGGAGTATTATATTTATCAAAATTTTAAGATCATTGGCATCACATCTCAGTCATCTACTTTTATGAGTGATGAATATATAAAGAAAACGGCAGCTTGAGATCCAAATGTTGGTAACAAACTACTTGACCTTGTTCGCATATATTCATGAACAATTAGCTAGCACAACACACTTGCAGGGCAAGTGATGTATAATAGTGTATTAAACCCGTGTGTTGGTGCAGGAGTTTAGTATGATAATAGTAAATGACGTAAGTATCAGCAACCTGACAATGCCAGATGAACTACAGAGCAAAGGAGAAGAGTCGTCTAGAGGAGCGGGCCAGCCTGCTCGAAACTGGGTTGCTAATCCCAGGATGTATGGGCCGGAATGGGCCAAATGAGCACCATTCCAGGTCAGATTTGTATTGCATGAGAGAGAGAGAGAGAGAAGTGTGTTGAGGTAGTTATATACTGTAAACGCTGAATATTCAGTATCAATGATTAAGGTGGCGAAGGCGGCGGCAGCCCCAATCCTATCGGATTGGTGAAATTTCTTATGTTCTTGATCTGTTCTATATACTTCGGTGAAATCTCGTTAGGTAGCTAACAATCTGGTATCAGAGCCTCACTGAAAATTCTCCCCCTTTCTCACTCTTGCTCTTGTGATTTTGCAGTAAAAACCTCCTGGAAGAGGTGGGAATCGTTGTCTCGGCAACGGATTCCACAAGAGCTTTGGCTCCCTCGACTAGGTTCGCAAGATCTCGAGCGCATCTTCCACCACAACACTCTACGAGAAGCCTCACTACGTGACTAAGCAAGCAGCTAAGATCATGGACCAAGATGGCAAGTTGGATCTGCTCCTACGGAAGATGGAGGAAGCAGAGAAGAAACATGAGGCAAGTGAGAATAAGAGGGAACAAACTGAAGAGCAGAGCAGGGCAGAAGGAACTCTCAAGCTGGTGGTTGAATCTTGGCTTCCGGAAGTCGAGAAGCATGCTGATCTTCTTCAGGATTCGGTGGTGGAGTTACAGGAGAAAGTGGAGAAGCTGCAAACTGTGGTTCAGAAATCCTCACATGACACTTCTCCAGATCTCGACTCTTTATGTCAGAAATCTGGTCCTCTGTTTCCCACCCATTTTTCCCCTGAGTCTCATGGCTTGCATCACACTCCTGCAAATTTGGTGAATTCGGTTGGATTAACTAGTTTGTGAGGCAGTGTTCCACCTATGCTTTGTCCTCAGTTTGATGGTGACAGCCGACAACTCTGGAAGAGTAATTATGAAGAATATTTTGAGGTGTATGGTGTTCATCCTCGGAATTGGGTGCGGGTAGCTGGTCTTAATTTCACTAGTAATGTAGCGTTCTGGCTTCAATGGGTATGATCTAAGTTGGTAGGCGTCAGTTGGTCAGAATTTGCTGAACAAGTTTGTCTCAGATTCACTAAGGATAGACAGGAAGTTCTTATTCGGCAGTAGTTTCATATGTCTCAAGAATCTTCTATGTCTGAGTATGTTGAGAAGTTTTATAGTGTTATGCACCAACTGTTGGCTTACAGTAGTGCTCTACCTCTCAATTATTTTGTCACTAAATTTGTTGAAGGGTTAAGGGATGATATCAGATCTGCTTTTTTGATGCAAAAACCCCAGGATCTAGATGCAGTTTTCTCTTTAGCATTTTTGCAGGAAGAAATCTTGGAAGGTTCCAAACCTGTTAGTCTTAAGAAGTATGATGTCCCTGTGTTGATAAGACATAACAATAGACAGGCCACATCAGCGTCCCACCCTTAAAGGAATTCCCAGTGGTGTGTTTGAAGATAGGAAGACATCTGAATTCACTAAAGCCAGAGAGGATAGGTGGGCTGCTCTGAAACCTTACAAGAGAGCCAAGGGATTGTGATTTACTTGTGGTGAAAGGTGGAGATGAGATCACAAATATGCTCCTTCTGTGCAACTCCATGTGGTGCAAGAACTCCTTGATGTTCTGCATCCTGAACTAGAAGAAGCCTATGCAAACGCTGCTTATTGGAGCAATATGGACTTATAGCAATTTCCCAACGGGCTGTGAGTGGTACAGAGTCTGCTACATCTTTTCGACTGAGGGGATGGTTATCAATTGAGGGGATGGGTTCAGTGCATTGAGGTACTGATGTTAGTTGACTCATGCAGTTCACATTTTTTCTTTTCTTCCATGGCCCCAAATATGTCTTGAGTCACAAATCTGCAGAAAATCTTATCAGTCAAAATTGTTGATGGTGGGATCTTGACTTGTTCTCAATCTATTCCAAATTGTACATGTGGGTTCAAGTTTAGGGTTATAACACTAAGTTCAAAGTTTAGGGTTATAACACTAAGTTCAAATTGCTTCCCATAGGGACTTATGATGTTATTCTTGGCACGGATTGGCTGATGACATTGGGTACTATGAATATTGATTGGTCTAAAAAATGTATGGAGTTCACTAAAGCTAACAAACCGATCAAAGTGCAGGGCATTCAGGTACAGGTTGATCAATGTGTGGCTAGTTCTGGTGAGCAATTGAAAAGTATGCTTAAACAAGGTTTAGTCATGCATATCCTGCAACTTCAGGAGGTCCTCAATGATCAGGAACTCACTACTAATCCAAAGATTTTGCAAATTTTAGAAGAGTTTTCTCAAGTATTTGAGGAACCCAAAGGGTTACCTCCCAAGAGGGCTTGTGATCATAGAATCCCACTTTTGCATAGAGCTCCACCTATTTACCTCGGACCCTATAGACACAATCTTGCTCAATAAGATGAAATAAAAAAGCAAGTCAAGGACATGCTCAATTTTGGGGTTATTCAGCCTAGTAATAGTGCCTATTCTTCTATAACTCTCTTAGTTAAAAAGAAGGATTGCACTAAACACATTGGTATAGATAACAAACAATTGAATGCTATTACTGTAAAGGGGAAAATTTTCCAATGCCAGTATTCGATTAGCTCTTGGATGAATTATCAGGAGCTAAATTCTTTTCCGAGCTTGATTTGAGGGCAGGATATCACCAGATTTGTTTGGTAGAAGAGGAAGAACATAAAACTGCTTTCCAAACATACTCTAGTCATTATGAATATAGAGTTATGTCATTTGGTTTGACTGGAGCTCCTGCTATTTTTCAAAGTGCCATCAATGACACTCTTGTCCCAGTTCTTAGAAAGTTTGCTCTTGTGTATTTTGATGATATTCTCATTTATAGCTCTGATTTTCAATCCCATCTCAACCATCTTCACCAAGTGTTGACATTATTGACGTTGCATCGATGAAGGTGAAGCTCAGTAAATGTTCTTTTGCCCAAAACAAACTATCTTATCTGGGCCACATCATTAGTGCTCAAGGGGTTACTACCAATCCTTCTAAGGTGGAAGAAGTGGTTAATTGGCAGATTCCCATGACAATCAAGAAGTTAAAGGGTTTTCTTGGGTTAGCTGGGTACTACAGGAAGTTTGTTAAAATTTTTGGATTGATTAGCAAACCATTAACTCAATTGTTGAGGAAGAATGTGCCTTTTGTGCGTAGATATGAAGCTAATCAAGCTTTTGTTACCCTCAAACAAGCTTTAGTCAAAACATCTGTGTTAGCCTTACCTGATATGTCTAAATAATTCACTATTGAGACTAATGCCAGTGATGGTGGGATAGGAGATGTTCTTTCTTAGGAAGGTCGCCCTATTGCTTATGTCAGCAAAGCTTTGGGTATTAAAACCAGAGGATTGTTTTCATATGAAAAGGAGTATTTAGCTATTCTGTTAGCAGTTGATCAGTGGAGATCCTACTCCCCCCATGGGGAATTTATCATTATCATTGACCACCACAGTTTAATGCTCCTGAATGAGCAGAGGCTGCATATCCCTTGGCAGCATAAAGCTTTCACTAAGTTGTTGGGTCTTCAGTTCAAAATCTGTTACAGGAAGGGCCTCAGTAATGTTGCTGCTGATGCTTTGTCCAGGAAGCATAATGTGGATTCGGGAGAGTTTAACCTGATCTCAAGCTATACTCCTGTTTGGCTCTAGGAAGTCTGTGATGGCTATCAATATGATGGTTTCTCTAAAAAGCTCTTGTCTAAATTGATCATCAAACCTGATTCTAGACCCAATTTTACCTCGTGCAATGGTGTTCTTAAGTATAAAGGAAGAGTTTGGTTGGGAAACAACACTGACTTACAACTCAAAGTAATTCATGCTTTGCATAGCAGTCCAATGGGAGGTCATTCTGGCATACATGTTACTTATAGCAGAATCAAGGCTTTGTTTGTTTGGCCCAAAAATGAAACAAACTATACACTCTATCCTCAAAGCTTGCTCCATCTGTTTGCAGGCCAAACCTGATAGACTCAAGTATCCTGGCTTGTTACAACACCTGCATGTTCCTGATAGTGCATGGCAAGGGAATACTATGGATTTTATTGAAGGTTACCCAAATATGGCAAGTTCAATTGCATTTTGGTGGTGGTTGATAACTTTTTCCATGTATTCCCATTTTATTATTCCTCTATCTCATCCATTCTCTACTGGTGATGTTGCCAACTCTTTCATGTGCAATGTTTATAAGTTACATGGCCTTCCTGCTTGCATCATATCTAATAGGGATAAAATTTTACAAGCCAACTCAGGGACCAATTGTTTTCTAGGTCAAACTGAAAGAGTAAATCAGTGTCTAGAAATCTATCTGCGATGTTTTGTTCAAACCATGCCTGCCAAGTGGGGTTCTTGGTTGTATTTGGCTGAGTTTTGGTTTAACACTTCTTATCTTTCTGCCTTACTGAAGACTCCTTTTGAAGTGTTTGTATGGTTACCCACTCAGCCACTTTGGCATCAGAGATGATGCTTGTTCCATCCCTAATCTTGATGAGTGGTTAAAGGAGAGAAAACTTATGGTTAGCTTACTGCACCAGCACCTCAATAGAGCTCAACAGCAGATGAAGGCCTATGCTGACAAGAAGGGAAGTTTAAGAGAATTTGTTGAAGGTGATTGGGTTTATTTGAAGTTGCAGCCCTATGTTCATTAATCACAAGTTGTCTTTTTGTTATTTTGGGCCATTCCAGATTGTGGCTAAGGTGAGCAAGGCAGCTTATCGCTTGCAACTTCTAGCTGACAGTGCCATACATCCAGTATTCATGTTTCTCAACTCAAATATATCACTGGATTCAACCAAGCAATACAGCCTCAGCTTCCATCTCACCTCATCTGAAAATTCCAATGGCTATCTTGGATACCCGTCAAGTCAGGAAAGGTACATCTCTAGTTAATCAAGTTTTGTACTTTGGTCCAGAGACATTGCTGGGCAGGAGACATGGGAGGATGATGTGGATTTGCGTCAATGTTTTCCAAATGCATTTGGCTTGGGGGCAAGCCAAAGCTCAAGGAGTGGGGGCTGTTGTTGAAGGTCGTTATAGACCAATTTCGACAGTCAATATATCCAAAATAAAGGAGAACTAGCAATACTTGCAATGCATATTTTATTAGAAATAATCTATCTCCACTTGTACTTGGAATTTTATTTGAATATAGAGATCTTCGCATAAATGGAGGAGAATCGATGGAAAATAACCGAACAATCACTCAACGTCCGTCAAGTGGCAGACTTATGGTTGGATGGGCCTATAAACTCAATTAAACCACTGTAAAAGGGCCCAACCACTGGCTAAGAAGTCGTGAGAGGATGCACAGGAGGAAGCAACAGGCCAGAAGGGCCAACCCAGGTTGGTTCGGCCAAACCCTCTCTGCGGTCTCTCATCCTGGCCTTTCACGTAGACGCTCCTGATCACTCCCCAATGACGGTTGTGGGGCATTTTTGACATTTCCAACCGCCATAACCGTCATTGGCAACATATTTAAGGACCTCACTCCCTCCATTCCAAAGTGCACTCTAGTTTACTTATATTGTTCTAGCACTAGTGGAGTAGGAATAGAATATTTTCTTTAGTTTTTTAAGTCTTCAGGATATTTCGGGTATGGCTCTAGTAGCTTTTTCTTCTTTTTTAAGACTTAATTCATTAATGAAATATTCTTCTTTATTTAGTTTCGGTCCTTTACTTCATTTATATAATTATTCGAGGGCCGACTTTAGTTTGTACTTGTCTCGATATAATTATGTAGCTAGCTTACCAGAGATATGCAATGGTGTGGGTTTAATGTTCATTACCATGATTGCTCTATGTCAGCTGCAGCGATGTGGAGTAGTATTTAGTAATGTAAGCGCGGTGCTTAGATTATTAGGTACCATTAAATGATGTTATATGCCGCGGGTTTGTAAAGGTGGGCCGCTGATGGTGACAGCTCAGTATGGGTATTCCTCCACTTGCGTATATAATACTAAGACAATTTCTTGGTGTGGGTACTCCTCCGTATTCATTACCGGTTGGATGGTCATGACGGGTTGTCGTAAGGAACTCGACAACCAGGGGTGGTCTCGCGATACACCAGAGGGTGTAGTTAATGGGTATTGGCTGCATGATTGTATACTAGCAAGTGTATATTAAAATGACTATATATTAGAAGTACAAAAAATGATTCTTTTCTTATTTTTTTTCTCCACTTAATCTAGATTATATTTTAATGAGAGTATTGTGGTTAATTCCTTATGTGTGTCAACTTATTCTACCCTTGAATATTGTTAACCCCTGCATAGATTTTGATCTATACAAGTGATGTAAATTATTAGTATAGTACTCTCTTATCATATCTTCCCTTGGGATTTTATAAATACGACACCTTGGCATACGTCCGAGTGAAATGCTACAATGGTATATCCGTGCGCTTGTGGATTATATCTGTGACCGTGAGATGTAACGAGAATATTTCGGCTTTATTGCTGGGAATTATGTTTCTAGTGATGACATTAAGCAATATCAACAGTTATCAGCAACCTGACAGTGCCGGATGAACTACAAAGTAAAGCAGAAGCCTCGTCTGGAGGAACGGGCTAGCCTGCTCGAACCAGGTTGCTAATCCCATGATGTATGGGCCGGAATGGGCCGAATGAGCACCGTTCTAGGTCAGACTGGTATTGCGTGAGAGAGAGAGAAGTGCGTTGAGGTATACTGTAAACTTTGAATATTCAATATCAATGATTAAGGTGGCGAAGGCGACGGCGACCCCAATCCTGTCGGATTGGTGGAACTTCTCATGTTCTTGCGTTGTTCTTGATACTTCGGTGAAATCTTGTTATGTAGCTAACATTAAGATTATAAAAGTTGTATTTTTTTAATGATCATTGGAGAAAAAAACTATAAACCACTTAAGTTGATGTGGTTTGTGATAATTTAAATAGTATATAGATTGATAATCCAAAAGTAAAAAAGTAAGGTGATGTGACTTCATGAGAAAAAAAATGAGGGAAATAATTTGAACTATATATTAATCAACTAACGGCTAGAAACAATTGAGGTGATGTGATTTAATGAGAGATAGAAAACATTAACTAAGTGGGGATGAAGTATATAGGATATTGTAGAAAATGATGAAGATATATGTTAAAATATTATTGGAATTATATGCAATGATGATTTAACATGCTCGTATTTTTAAGATTTAGAATATAATAAAATATAGATGACATAGTATGTTTGAATGAGGATTAAGATATAATAATTACTAATGGATGATGATGTGCATCTTTACTTGTTAAGTTTTAGAATGTTGTGGATTATAACTTTAAAGATATAAATAGTATATATACGCAGCACGCATAGATCATTGACCGAACATCAGACAAACTCTTCCATACATCTAAATAGATGTTCATATATTTGTGGACGGAGAGAGTGCATTTTTATTCTAGCCACGGAATGACGGAAATGTAACATGTATCGAATTTTCATGTAAAAAATCCATGTACTAAATTTCGGTACCAAAATGTTCTAGTGACAAGCTACAACATTGATTTCAGCAGGTACATGTAGACTGGGGATCAATGTGTCACTCAACTGATTTTTTTTTTATTTCACTCAAATTTCTGACTGTGGACGTCACACTTGTCGACATCTCTCTCACCAGCCTCGCGAGCGTGCACATCTGCAGATCTGCTTCTCCTTATTGGGTTGGGTATGGGCTCAATAGCCCGTTTACTGTTTTCTACCTATATGTGCTTGCTTTGGTCCAATGAAGCAACCCATCGATCCATTCGAAGAAACACAGTGAATCAGTGGCATTTTTTTTTAATTTCGCAAAGTTGCAGTGGTATGGATCCAATTAACCCTAAGGAATAAGGTCACTTTAGCTACCTCAATTTGCTGTGGAGTTTGAAATTCGTTCCTGAACCGCAATACCAGGTATAGCCCATCTCAACTCACAAAACCGAATTAGATCCTTGGGTAGTATAGCGGCTGGTTTTATCCGACGTGGTTAGTTGACTATAGTTAACAACGTTGAGTTAGCGTGAGTCTCACGTGTTAGTGACCCTTATCTATCCTCACCTATCTCTCTCCCCTCAGTTCCTATCTCACCAGGGTGGCGAGCAGTGAGGATAAGGTCGGCGGTGGGCGATGAGGAGGACGGCGGCTTGGCCTATCCACGCCACCCACAGCCGAACAATGTGTGTTGGGCACCGCAAGCGCATGGAGGTATCAAGTGCGATGGTACTGACGCGTCGAAGCAGGTGTGGATGCGGTGGAATGTCACTAGGGTATGCAAGGAGGGGCGATCGACAAGGACAGTGCGGTTGCCGCAGGAGAAACCCAAGACGTCGACCTTGTTCGTCCCCCCTAAGGCCCTAACCCGCTCCTTTTTCGGGTGAGGGCGACCTGGGCAGGCTCCTCCTCGCACGGGCCACCATCAGTAGCCACTGCAGCGCTACCCATCGCAGTCGGAAGGGACCGTGTGGACTCCGAGGCCGACCTACGGGCCGTCGGCCTAGCTTCCGATGTTCGTGCCTCATCAGCTCGGTGCAGAATAGCAGTTCCCCAAATGTTTGCTGCCTACTCCTACTTCAGTGCCCACCCACATCTAACTCAAATGCTAAAACTAAGGCTCCCATCCGATGGCCTAATCAGCCCTAAAAAAAACCAAAATTTAAATTTTTAAAATTAATTTTAAGATTGATTTTGAGATATTTTCAACGTAGTTTTTTTTTCAGCATTGACTTTTAATTCATCAAGGACACATATATAAGAATTTTACCTACAAATTTATTTTTATTCATTTATTAGGGAAGAAGCCAAATGATGGGGCCGCAAGAAGACAAGATCACGTCAAAAAGTCGAGCCTATTAAATTTTGGCCAAAATCTAAATCACAGATTCGCTTATCGTCTAAGTCCGAACTTCCATTTGGTCCGTAAAATTTCGGTCTTTATCACAGATTTTGTCATGGTTACAGTAACTTATCGTCTTAGTATGGATAGTTATTAAGTAAGCACGAAATCATTCGCTTATCATTCTTTATTCCGACTGAAATACACGAGTACATGTGCCGCATATGGTACAACAATGCACAAACACCTGGCTTCCTCTTCCATTATTGTTCTTTGAATCAGTATGAAGATCAGTACCATGTAGAGCAAAGGACATATTTGAAGTCTGAACTATCATTCTTATTTTATGGAAATCCGTTTATACTCCCTCATGGTGTTTGTGATAGCTTGCTCAACTGGTAGCCGCTCCATGCTTGATGCACCATAGAATCCATGGACCCTGTTAGTGCGCTTTAGGATAAACTCTGCCTCCTGCGGCCCTGATATGGGACCTGATGAAAATATCCAATGATAAGTTGATAGCTACTACCTCCGTCATAAAATATAACAACCTAGTGTGGGGATACTACGAATGTGGATAGGGGTATATCCATATTCAAGTACTAGAATGAGACCAATCCTATATTGCAAAAGAGAAGTGACCATCGACTTATCAAAAATAGAAAGTGTACCTCCATGACACAGAACAATAATGTCAGGATTAATCCCAAGTGCTGCATCAGCAATGGCTTGAACACGTTTGACACTGTCATCTAAAGTGACAGCAGTCTTTGCCCCAATAGACCCAGCTGTTGTTAGACCCATATGTGCCACTATTATATGAGCTCCAGCCTTGGCCATGGCAGCAGCTTCTTCAGGATTGAAAGCATATGGAGTCGTCAAAAAACCCATGCTGTGAGCTCTTGAGATCATCTCCACTTCCAAGCTGTCATATGATGAAAAAGGTTAAACACAATCCAACGCAAATTCTCCCCAGATGTGGGAGGGAAAATTCAGTGCTAAGCCATTGAGAAAATTGCTGTGTATGCTAAAGAACAAGGATTAATGATCTCATGGGCAGCTAATTTGGATCTTTCCTAGAAAATTAACTAAACAATGAATTATATCAGAACTTCAAGCCAGGATGATAATATATTTTACTAATCCAAACATGATTAATCACACCTGTAGCCCATTCCAGTTTCTTCCAAGTTCTGTCGAAAATTGCCATCAAAAAGACCAACAGTGGGGAAATTTTGGACACCACAAAATCCAATAGCTTCTAGTTGTTTAAGGAAGTACTCCATTCTACGGAATGGATCAGTAGCGCAAACCCCAGCAAGAACCGGAACTCCTTTAACCACCTAAATAAACAGTATGTCATTAACATCTACTAATAGTAAAAAAATCAATTGACAGGCACAGTGCCGAAGGTATCTGATGACTTACAGGCAACACTTCATTGGCCATCTCAAGTACAATAGCGTTTGCATCTGCAAATGGCAATAGTCCTGCCAATGAACCCCTCCCAGCCATGCGAAACCGCCCGGAGTTGTACAGAACTATAAGATCAACTCCACCAGCTTCTTCAAACTTGGCTGATATGCCAGTGCCAGCACCAGCTCCAATGACAGGAGTACCCTCAACAATTTGTTGCTTTAGTTTATGTAATACTGACTTTGTCTTTTGCAAAGTTTCTGTAAGAATATAAGAGCAAACCATCATTGCATGTCATTGTAGCAAGAAATACCAGGAGTAAAATATAATGAATGAAGCATGCCTTGGAACATGCAGCCAATTTTGAGATAATAATTTTAAAACATTAATGATTGAATTATTCCGCTCATGCATAAACTGATAATATTTTCTGCTATGGTTGGCCTCAGCCAATTTCATTGCAAGGCAAGCCACTTATTAGATTATTTATGTATTTAAAGGACTTGGCAATTTATTTGGAACACAAAACATTAAAAACTCCTCCCTTAGCTTCTAATCTTCTGATTTCACTACAGATTGGTTATGAGATTGTTTGTTATGAACTCTCCTGTTTAAAGGGCTTGGCAATTAATTTGGGAAGCAATCAAGAACAGAAAACCAACTCAGTCCCCCCCCCCCCCCCCCCCCCACACACACACACAAAAAAAAACCCACCTCCGCTATATTTCATGAGTAACAGAAAATATGTAGGAGTATTGGATAACCACAGCACAACAGTCAAAACAAAAATGGAAATCAAGTAAATAAAACAAAAGAGGAAAGCACCATGATGTTGGCTGCAGATTCTATAAGAAACATAAATAAATTAATAGATAACCATTCTCTCACAACCGACTAGATGTTTCAGTAACGCTGAACAGAAAATACCAAAGTGAGCATCAGATAACTTCAATAACCTCATGCAGCAATTTCTATGATAAAAACGACGAACATGTAGATGGAATCAGAATATGTAGATATTTGATAACCTCTACAGTTTCCTTTGTGAGCATAAAAATGTTTTTAGCTCATGATATGCAGATCAAATAAGAACTAACCTGGTCTTGCATCAGGAAAATCTACTGGAGATCTCCATATGATAGAACTATCTGAAGTTCTCTGTGTTGAACAATATTCTTTTGTATTTACATCTTGATTAGTTTGGACCATGCTGTTTTCTGGACTTATTGTATTAGATGCCTTTACATCCATACTCAAGAATGCGTCCACCAAAACATTAGCAAATTCCGGATCATTTATATGATATGGAAGCATCTTGACCTGTCAATAATCTAAAACAGCTTAGTTCACTTGAAGAGATAAAAATAAAAGGCAATAATTTATGAAATATGAGGAAACCTCTCTGTTGTCAGTTTTCTCTATACGGCTACATAATTCATCCAGCAGCGTAGATGTAGCCTCCAGATCGTAAAATGGCATTTTAGGTGCATCTATTGCAGAGATGCCCTTTTGTGGCAGGCAAACAATAACCTTCGATGAAGATTTGTTTATTTTATCAGCTATAAACTCAGCAATTTTTTTGTTCTCTTCTACTGTAGTTCGCATCAGTGAAACCTGTAAGATAAGAGAGTTGTTACTGATTGTAACAAAGAGGAAATGTATGTAGCACTCGCAAACAATGGTACAGGAGATAAGAGAATATTTCTTGAAATTGGACTTCTAAAGAGTCATTTTAGACAACACAACGCTTGTGCAAATGCCCTGCAATGATACATTTTAAAAAAATGCACCCAGCATACAGAATAAGGAGATGGAAATTTTCATATCCTTGCAACAAAAAAAATACCCCCATACAAATTCTGTACAACAATAAATCATCCTGAAACCTTAATAGCATTATATGTAGTAAATTATGTATAATGTTTATCTAAAAATTTAATAACATATTTACTGATAATTCTCCAATGTTGTAGCACTGAGTTGACATAACCATCTAATGTGATTATACCTTCATAGTGCATTACAAGGGAAAATACACCTGAAGAAACAAGTTCAGCAATAATCATGCAAGCATATTTTGGTCAAAAATGAATAAAAACCATTGGAAAGTGTTGTTATACTTAACCTGCTCATTATGCACATGTATCTTTCTTCCTGTGAAATCAGGAGGTATCGTATCTCGAGCTCCAAAGTTGACCATATCCAAGGCTCCAACACTGAGAACAAGAGGGATTTTGTTGTCGATAATTGCATCAAACCTTGTATCATCACATGCCATAACACCGCCAACAATGTGGTCTGCAACTTCTGTTGTCGTTATATCTAATACACCCTATATGCAACCAAATAAATGTGAGAAAGAAAAAACTCTGCAACTACCAGTTACATAAGGAGTTGATAACTGAGATTATGAGTTATCATCACAATTTACCAGAAAGTGGTACCTGTATGAAACCTCCCTTAACTAGTTCTTCCATCGCTTTTCCTCCTACACCTGTGGCATGGAATACAAGTGTCTCATAACCTTCTTTGCTCAGTCTTTCTTTGACCATATTTACACATGTTGTTGTCACACCAAACATTGTAATACCAATAGTTGGTTTTGTGGCAGTTTCATCAGATTCATTGGATTCCATTAATATTCCGTGCACCATTCCAGCAACAGCTGCAGCAGCATTAGATAATATAACACGGCTGACACTGTTTATGCCACATATGTCAACAACTGAAGGAAACAACACCAAGTCCGATGTTCCAACATATGGTGCCGTTTGGCCACTAGCAACAGTAGATACAATAAGCTTAGGCACTCCGAGTGGCAGGGATCTTAGAGCAGGAGCAATTAGGGCAGTTCCTCCACTGCCTCCTAATCCAACAGCACCTAGCAGAGTACCACTTTCATATCTTCTTTTTAGAAAGCTCTGGAGAGCCTCTGACATGAGTGTGATTGCTTCACCTCTGTCACTAGGAAGTTCATGTTGATCGACACCTAAATGACACGAAAGAACTGCATCTCTTGAGATAAATGTGGTGCCCTTAAAATCTTGTGATGTCACCTTCTTAGTTGTGGAGACATCCACAAGGCTTACTTGAACCTGTTATGTCATTACACCATATGATGCACCACTATATCAAAGGAAAATAAGAAATCTACAGTATATCCAAGGAGCATGTAACTTTTCATAAGAAAATTGTTGAATTGAAAAAATTCTGCAAGTAGCCAAGCAATTTAAACTGTGCACAAAAATGCCACATGTGCAGACAATTTTCCATTCCGATATGTAACACAACAATGGTTATCCGTACAGCATGTGCAAGACAAGGCCAGGCATATGGCACAAAGAAAGGATTGGCTCTATTATCTCTAATTTCCATTTTATAAGAATTAGCTACCTTATGTTATAATCCTTATCTATTATATAAAATAATCAAGAGGCTCACTATATATGGCATTATGGTGGCCACCTCTCATTATCCAGGAAAAAGCAACAAAGGAACTAATTCTTCCCCAACGTCGCCTAGCTATCATCCCAGCGAAGAGTACCTTTCATGAATCTAGTAATCATAGTATTCGGTATCAGAGCAATTAATCATCCATGATCTCGCTGCCAAGATACCCAAGATCCTCCATTTAATAGAGCCATTGCTGCCAATTGAGATGAGGGTTATGCTTGAGAAGGCCATGGTGATGGCAAACAATATGCTCAAGCAGGGCATGGCAGTCCCACATTGCTATGGAGGCCATGCTGATGCTGCCACCACCAGTCTAAGAGTCACCATAGCCATTCACCCTCAAAGTCACCACTTTGATCTATAAGCAGGCACTCACTATCACAAGCATGCACATTTCCTTGGGCTAGTACAGCTGTCGCGTGGCATGGCATGGTTGGGGCAGTGTGCGTTGTGAGAGAAGTGATAGTGTGTTAAGGGTATCTTTGCGGTTTTCAACTAAGTCTGCAGCCCAGGATAAGTGTTATTTGTGTAATGTTGTTGATTCTACTCCTCTTTAATGAATAAGCAGAGCTCCTGCCATCTATTTCAAAAAAAAAAAAAACACTACAGCCTCCATTAAATGAATTGTGGCATTTTGCTAATTCATATATCCAAATAATGTTTAGTCCCGATTTGTAAGATACTTTGTAATTTTTTTTCTATCAACCTGCTGTTTTTCAGTGGCAAAAAAATTGTTTCTTAAAATTCCTCACCAGCTTTTCTTACTTCTGAAACTTTGCTTTGTGTATATCATAGCTGGAAGTTTTTCAGAAATGTGTTCTTACAACAATGTTGAACAATCACATTCCTTAGAAGTTCTATAAGATGGTACATGATGAGTTATGTTCGGTATTGTGCATGGGACGGTACATGGTTTTCTGGTTGGTCCAAAAGGGATGGTACATTGTAAGTGTAGATAACGCTTAACCGACTAAGCAAGGATATAGAGAAATGAAAAACAATTAATACAACACTATGGATTGATTAAATTATTATGAGTAAAAATCCCAAAACTAAACACCCTTAAATAACGCATAATTCTACAATAATAAACATCTTTTCAAGACTAGTGAGGAGGCATTATCATTTCTCAATACTAAGCACAAAAGTAATATATAATGATTGCATAACCTATGAACATGCTAATTACCATGATAATTCTCCCCAATCACTGTATAAGCCGCAAATCCTAGACGATCACATCCCGTAACATCCAGCACTAACTCATTCCCCCCTAATAGAGATTCATTAACAAAGTGAGGGGACCGATATAGAGCTCCTACTCCCTATTCCCCTATTTCCCTAGGAGTCTACATCTCGCGCGGGAACCAAATTGAGTAGCAGAGCAGAAGGGCGAGAGAGCAGCGCCAGCCCACCTGCGCGGAGGAGGTGGCGGCGAGGGTGGAGCGGAGGCGGGCGGCGAGGAAGAGCAGCTCGTCCAGCTTGGTGTCCGCCGTCCCGATGCAGAGCAGCTCCATTCTCGCCGGCGCCGGAGATGGAAGGGGCGGGGCGGAGATCCGGAGGAGTGGAGCGGAGCGAAGGGGATTGGTAGCGGGTGGGTAGAGAGAAAGACAGAGAGAGGAGAGTTGAGATTGAGACTTCAGTTATTAATAGATAAATCTGTCTCCGTTGCAGTTGCATCGTTTGATTTGGAATGAAGGGGACTCGCGGGCTCGCACAGTCGCACTGTGGACCGCTTGCTGGATTTCGTAGCGCGGTTTTCCCCGCGTTACCACGTCGCATCACATGGAATGGAATTCACTATTCACTGGATCAGAGGGATCCTGATCGCCTCGTTGGGGGAGGATTCTGTAGATCACATTATTATTTTGTTTGTAGAGAGAATCTTGTTTGTTTATCTATAGTGTCAGTTCAACTTTTTTTCCCCCTCGTTTCAGTAACCGAATCAATAATACTCTGTTCTTCTTGTTGCTCTGATTTTTTGAATCTCTTGTTTAATTCGCTTTTGACTTGCTAGAACAACAGACTTTATGAGGAGGGACAAGGGAGTACATGTGATATGCATGCTATCATAACAGGAAGAAATGGAATCTGGATGCGGGTGAAAGTTATCTAAATCCACAGAAGCAGACTCCAACAAGTCAAGTAGACACCTTCACGAAGGAAAGAACTACCAAGTGATAGAATCATGCTGCGCAACACAAATTCGTAACAGGCCGATCATCCAGGAAAGCCTAGTAATTTATGAAGTTGGCTCATAAACAGGCTCTGCGTTAGAAAGAAAAGGCAAATAACAGAACTCATTTTACTGGTTTTGTTAGGAGACTGATACTCTGTTAACTTCATGATGTCGTTGTTCATCAACAGATGGTTACAATAACCTTCAAAATCAATAGCAGAGGAAGAAGAGCCCTCGGGATTCAGTTTTCACAAAAATTAGACAAACTTTCAGCACATTATTTCAGTCTTAACTGGCAATGATCTTATCACTGTTTTATCATAACTTGAAACTTGAAATTATATGAAACTTGAAACAAGCCATTAACCATGTCCGATACCCAAGCACATCTCAGAAGTCATAACAACTACATAGCAGGGTACACATGGATCATTATACGCACCATGTATGACCTTACAGCCACTTCCCTTGAACCTGTCAAAGAGAATTCAGATGAATTATGGTAGAAATACAAAAACATAAAATGAACACTAACTTCAAAGAAGTAAAAAAAAAATGGCAGGAACACATAGCGTATTTAACTTGACAACTTGGTAATATAATTCCAGGGCTTTGCTGTACTGAAATGGTATGCTTGATGGTGGTTCTCTCATCTATCGTAGATCTTGGGATGTTAAGAAGCATATGCAAAGCTAAATAGGATGGCACGGAGACATTTGTGTTGTGGTTCTCAGAGGATCAAGCATTCAAGCCTGATGGGAAGAGGGAAGAGATTAAACATGGACTAAAGTATTTGAATCCCCTAGGCCACAGGCAAACTTCTTTATTTTTGTTCTTTTACGCTATCAACTGTTATTTGTTCAATCTAACACATCCCAGCAATTCTACTTGAAAGATCCCTAACAGGAGTCCTATCATCTTTGGACAAAGGGCACATTTTCTGCTACTGGGGTGGACTCTGTAGCCCTTCAGCTGGTTCAGATAAATAACCATCATGGCATATTGGTTGTCAACTTCACCAAAAACTGCTGGTGTCCCGTCAACTCCAAGATAATTGATGCTCTGAGTTGCTTTACCTTATAGAGTTTACATTACATCATAATGCTCTCCCCTAGATTAGGAAAATAATTAACCAACATGTCAAGAGGCTTTATGCATATAGGATATTAGGATAGGTACTTTGAATCAATTTGACAACATGAGCTATTCCTGGAAACCATACTCATTGTCAAATTATATGAGCCCCCTAGGCTAACTGTGGAGATACCCATACATCACATGCATTTGACATTTTTTTTTTACCCACAATAATCTCCACCCAGAATTCAAGCATATTGACCTAACTTGGCTGAATACAAACATATGGCAAGAATGAAAAAATGGAGTACCAAATATTATTGTTTGCTAAGCATCAAGATATTATTAGCATGTATATCCAAAGCAAACTTTCTTTCCAAGAACATACATACAGTAGATAATGAAATGTCTTTTGACTTGCCTATAGGTGCATGTGTTTTGCAGAGATTCCAAGTCGGGGGGAAAATGATTGACAACTGCTGGCTTGGATGAGCTGGAAGAGGGGGGAAGAAGGCTGGCCAGCAGGCCTTCTCTTTTCTATGGCTGCGGTTTCTATTCCTGCCTTTCTCTTTCTCCTCTCCCTTTTTTTGCATTCCGTCCTTGTTCTTTTTCCTCCTTTCGACTAGCTTAGCTCTTTCTTTCTCACGCTCCTCTTTCAGACTTCCACTGAAATCTAGATGTGGCTCAGGATCAGCTGTAGGAGAACATATGGAGTTGATGTGATAGGAGTAACATGTACAACCGTACATGTTGTCCAGTGCTGTATGCTGACATGTATGTGCATCCAGCCAATAGCACACGGACAGGACATTTTTGGAGACATTTTCAAATCAGACCTTTGATGTGGTCACTACTCACTGCTAACCTTCGTTGCACCTTGCGAATGGGGGACAGTGCCGGTCATCCCTACCAGTAATCATTGCAGGAGCAAACTCCATCCTGGAAATGGTGGAAACGAACAGGGTCCCTGATGATGATCACCTTGCCTTCGCTCTTGGAGACGAGCTTCGCAAATGCATGACAGTCACCACAGATCCTGAGGTTCTTCATGATCCTTATGGGCTTCCCTTCCATCGCGTTCATCGTTCCAAATGCTATTGCCAGCTTCTCACTATGATATTTCAATAGATCTTCCTTCTGCTCAGTTGCCAGATCCTGCAACACAAACTCTGTCTGGGGGGTATAACCGAGGTTTGTGACCCTGCTGAAAAGTCGGCTCAGCTCTTGAATTATACTCTCTGAACATGGGTGAGACAAGTCACCAGCAATGAAAACATGGACCTGCTTACCCAGCTCGATCCAGCTTCGCCCAGGATCTTTCTTTACCCCTCTGTCTCTCATCATCTTCCACGACTTCTCAGCATCTGCCCATTGTCGCAAATCAGCATACGTGTTTGACAATAATATGCGGGCACCTTGGTCGTCAGGCTCCAGTCTAAGGATCTCTTTTGCTGCATATGCTGCAAGATCGGCGTTTTTGTGCATCCTGCAAGCCCCAAGAAGAGTCCTCCATATAACTGAGTCCGGCTGAAAGTTCATCTCATGGATGAACTTCACAGCATCATCAAGCTTCCCTGCCCGACCAAGTAGATCGACCATGCAGTTGCAGTGTTCTCTCTCAGGTTGAATACCGAAGAGTTTCTCCATTGAACTAAAGTAGTACCAACCATCTTCCACTAGACCGGCGTGGCTGCATGCAAAGAGAACTCCAACCATAGTTATGTGGTTTGGTCTAGGCCCTTCAGATTTCATCATGTCAAAAACCTTCAATGCCTCAATGCTTCTCCCATTCTGTGCCAAACCAGAGATCATGGTACTCCAAGAGATCACGTCCCTCTGAGGCATCCTGCCAAACAAGGCATCTGCATCCTGCAGGCTACCGCACTTGCAATACATGTCAAGAAGTGCATTATGCAAAATCAGGTCCTTGTCATACTTGAGAACATGAGCATGAACCTGCCTCCCCACCTCAAGTGTGACCAAACCAGTGCATGCCCGGAGAACACTGGTCAAGGTTCCCTGGTTGGACAAGAACCCAGCCTCCTTCATCCTCATAAAAAGCTCTATCGCCCCGACACCATCCCCGCTCTGCGCGAATCCTGCAATGATCGAATTCCACACGATCAAATCACGTGTTACCATCTCGTCAAAGACACGACGCCCACCGTCCAAATCTCCAAACTTCATATACGCATCAATCAAGGAGCTCCGCACAAACACATCCGAATCCAACCCAACCTTAACGATGCTCCCGTGCATCGCCGCGAGCACCCTGGGCGTGCTGCAAGCACCCAGAATGGACGAGAAAGTGTACATGTTGGGAGCCACTCCGTCCCTGAGCATGGCCACAAAAAGCCGCAGCGCGTCCTCCTTCCTCCCGCGGGCATTGGCCAGCGCAGCGACGACGGTCGTCCAGGACACGACATTCTTGTGCGGCATTCCGTCGAACAGCCTGAGTGCGTCGTCGAGCAGGCCGAACTTGGCGTACAAGGAGACGAGGGAGTTGGAGACAAAGAGGCTGCTGCAGGAGGGCGCCGCCACATCGCCGCCGCCGAAAACGTGGCGGTGGATGAGGCGGCCATCGCTGGGTGTGCCGTGGCGGACGCAGAGCTTGATGAGGCGGGAGACGGCGACGGGGTCCGCTGTGAGCCCGGCCGCGGCGAGGTCCGGGAGCAGCGCGAGCGCGTCGCGGAGCGGGCCGTGGGCGCAGAGGCGGGAGAAGGCGACGAGGAGGGGGTGCGCGGTGTGGGGGTCGGAGTGGAGGAGGCAGCGGCGGCTCCGGCCAGCAGGGGCGGATCTAGCAATAACATGGCATAGTAGGGAAGCTGCTGCCATAGGGTACTGGCTGGCCGGCGGGCGGGCAGGCGGGAGCACCCCCAACCCCGCCGCTCCTCTTCGTCCTCCCGCCGGAGCAGCGAGCAGACGATCGAGGACTGGAGCTCTGCCTCCGACGTCGCCTGAGACGGAGGAGCTGCAGGCCCAGGGCACTCGTGTCAGGACACTGGCCCCACACCTTTCACGACGAAAGACTTTCTAGCACTGTCACATCTATATAAATATTAATGAATCTATATGTATACAATTCATTAGCATCTAAGTGAATATGGACAACACTAAAAAGTGTTATATTATAAAACGGATGAAGTATTTTATTAGTCAATTTTTTTAAGTTTAACTTAAATCTCTACTATTATAAAAATTAAAAATGTTTTTCCGGTACTTTGGTATATCAAATATGGTTTTAATTTTATGTTACGGTCTTAATTTCTATCTCTACTTAAAAAGTACGAGAAAATTCCATAGCCGGTAAAATAGAAGGTCCGAGTAAAAAAAAAAGGAAAAAAAAGGCCGAGCAAAAAAAGGAAAAAATAGTGCGACTAAAAAGGTAAAAAAAGGAAAAGAAAATGTCCGACTCAGAAGCGATAAAAAAGCTTCTGCCGCGCGTCAGTAAAAATTGAAAAAAAAAAATCGTCCGACTCCATTGAAAAAAAGGAAAAAAAAAATCTCGCCAGTAAAAAAAATTCCGTTTGGTTTTTTTTCACCGGTATTTTTCTGACTTTTTCTTTCACGCGAAAGAGTTTTTTTTTCCCGCACGTGCTATTATTTTTTTTCCGTTTTTTACATCCGATCTGTTCACCGCCCCTCCCGGACCTTTTGGTTTTTTCGTCAACTTTTTTGTCACCGGTTATTTTCTCCCTTTTGGTTTTTCTCACTCAGTTTTTTAATCCAATTTATTCTGTGCACGTCTCCCGAGTTGAACCCTGGCGCTGCACCGACGCCATATCAATCGTGTGTTTTCTACTCTAATTTGATTGCAAAAAAAAATCGATTCCCACTCCTCATTTATCATTTTCTCCATGATTTTCCCAGCTTTATTTTATTTGGTCAGATTTAATCTAACAGTTGTCGATAATGACGGCGATTTTCCCTTATCGTTTTTAATTATCGCCAGTTTTACGCTCTGATTTTGGGACAAAAAGGGAAATAGGAGATCGAGTGGATAAAAAATCATCAACCAATTTTGGGTGATCGAGAAAGATTCGGCCGGATTTGATGAGTCAAATGAAGCAGGCCAAATGGAGGGAGGGATTTGATGGGTCGAAGGAAGCAGACCAAATGGAGGTAAGTAGGCCAAACGGAGGGAGGTAGCGGACTTGCCTAGGGCTAAAAGGAAGGAAGGCTTTCGGCCAAAACCCAGAAAAGATATTCATTAACTTGTTTAATTGTAATATATAGCGATCCCAATATTAAAATTTTCATTACCTTTTTCAATTATAATGTATAGTGATCCCAATATTTTCAGTTTTTTACTCAGCTCTTAGTATATCATTGAAAAAACATCTTTACCCGTTGCAACGCACGGGCGATTTTTCTAGTTTATAGAAAAATATAATACTTTTTCCAACATAAAATAAACATATTATCAAACTATATTTACTGTTAAATTTAATAAAACTAATTTTATATTTTTGATATTGTTAACTTTTTCTATAAAATCGGTCAACGGAATAAAGTTCGACTAGAAAAAAAATCAAATGACTTATAATATGAAACGGAGGGAGTATGATCCTATAAAATAAATAAATGAAGATTTTGATGGAAAGTACTCCCTCCGTCCAATTATATAAGAAATTTTGGATGGATGTGACAAATTCTAATACAATAAATCTAGACATGAAGTATGTTCCAACTCATTCCACATCTACCCAAAATCCCTTATATTTTTTAATGGAGAGAGTATAAAAGATTTTGGAGGGATGTGACACACTATCTAGTTTACAAATATATCATATTCTTCCAAAATCCTTTATATTTTAGGAATAAAAGGATCGGAGTCTCACGATGCATTTTTTTTTGCGCTTTGTGTGCATGATTTGATGTCAATATGTTAAAGATATTGTCATAGTTACGGATAAGGCATACCTTATATCCTATGAGTTATAAAATATACGGATATGGCATACCTTCACGTACATCGATTGTTCCCGTGTACGCCGTAGGAATTTGTTACAGATTATGGAAAATATCTCTACGAGCCAAGCAATTTCCAAAGTCCTGCTCGGAGAGGATAGAGTTTCTGTTATATCGTATAAGATCCAATGTCTCCGAGTCTTACTTGGAGATCAAGATAATCCACGGTATAAAAGGGACCCCCAAGGAGGGGTGCAAGGCATCGAATCTCATCGCCAACACACCCACCATAGTTTACGAAGCCAGAGTACGCGAAGCCAAGTTGCCAGGAGATCTCGTCGAATACCTCGACTACGATCTTATCGGTATCATCGATTTCGTCTACTTCCATTGTAATCTGTAGTTTTCCATCATCAATCCCCTAGAGTAGGGCTATTACCTGATAAGGGGTCTGAACCAGTATAATCCTTGTCTTCTACTTGCTTGATGTCGTGTTACCTAGATCCTCGTTCCAATGTATCCCAATACCCTAATCATCCGGTCTACTAGTATCACTCGTCGACAGATATGGATGGTTTTCATTGAGTAAACTTATCTCAGATTTTCTTTTCTAATACTCTATATAGGTAATAAGCAAGATATTATGATGCTAAATATGTGTTATTCAAAAGTAACTTATATGATTCTAGGAAGTAACTATTATCCCTACCGTAGATATGTATTTCCTCCGTTTCATAACGTAAAACTTTCCAGTATTGCCCACATTCATATAGATGTTAATGAATTTGGACATACATATGTGTCTAGATTCATTAACATCTATATAGATATGGAATACTATAAAGTCTTACGTTATGAGACAGAGGGAGTATTTGCCAGTATAAACAAATAAACATGAAGAGATGCAAAACGAGTAACATAACCTTTTTTTTTCATGTTAGAAGATGCAGTCTTTTCAGGGCTTTTGGAAGTCAGTTAAACTAGTTTGAAAAGTAACTTATATATTTCTAGGGAGTAACTTTTACATAATTTAGAAATAACTTTCTCCCTATATAACTTGCCTTTTTCCCACCATTTTTTTTAGTATCAGAAAAGGAGATGAAATTTGTGATGGAATGTACATAAGCTTGAAACTAGGAGGCATTTTTAGGTCTCAGGATGGAGCTTATTTATTTGCTTTTGACTCTTGTTTGTACTTCTTTTTTTATGAATATTATTTTGTCCATTGGATTTTGGATCGAGGTGGAACCCTAGCTCCCCATATGTTTTTTTCCTCTCGTGGTGTTTATGGGCTTCATATCGGCCCAGTAGGAAAAGCACACACAACACACGGTTCATTCTCACGAGAAGGCGTGTGCGGGGACTGGGGAGGGTTGCGCGGCAGAAAATGGACATTTGGCCATGTTTAAAACGTGGTTTCACTATAATATCATCTCAAAAACGCGATTCGATAAAATGCCAATATGGAGCGTGCGTCTACCGCCACTTTGCCATTTTTATCATTTTATTCATTTTCAAAAAGATTTTCTCTCCTCTACTAGGTGATGAGACAAAATTGCCCCTTATCAACTTAGCCGAAGCTCGTCATCATCGGGGAAGGTGGTGGCAGCGGGCACCAGAGGTCGCGCCGTCGCCTGTGCCCGTTGTCGGAGAAGTGGTCGGCAGAGGACGGCGCCGTCCGGCGGCGGATGCGGCTGCCCAAGACCGTGGTGGCTCTCCGCGGCGGCCTTCCTCACCAGCACTACCACCGACGAAGTCGTCACCGCCGCCCCAATCTCCCACCACCTCCGCCTCCCCCGCTCCCTCCAAGCCGAATTCCAGTGAAAATGGAATTGAAAATGATGAAAATGGAGAAAATGGCAAAGTGGCTGTGATTGCGCGCTTCATATTGTCATTTTAGCGAAACACGTTTTCGGAATGGCATTCTAGCGAAACCACTTTTTGAATGTGGCCAAATGTCCATTTTCTTGTTGCGCGGTGACCTTTTTAGAAAGGAGCTTGTGGTCGTATGTGCACTGATCCTATATATCTATAAAGTTCATCCCCACCAAGTGTAGTTAATGCTAATTCTCTCTTCTCTCATGAAGCCACATCACCTTAATTGTTTTTAGCCTTTGGATGATTCATCAAGGGTGTAAATTGCGTCTCTTCCCCCAAAAGGCACACCATACAACGTAATCATTTATAACCTCAAGATAATTGATAAAAGTATAAGAATAGATAAACACATGAAAAAAATAATTGTATAGTAGGTAAGAAAGAAAATTTTAGGACGGTTGTTGTTGACGGTCATTAGCGATTAGTTTTGACCATCAATACTACCAAAATAAAGGAGAACTAGTTATGCTTGCAATGCATATTTACGTTTAATAATAAATATTCCACTAGCTTTAGGATTACTAACCTCTTGCAAAGAATGAACCTAGAATGGAGGAGAATCGACATCAAAATAGACGATCAATCAATCGGACGATGTCGAGAATCAGACTTATGGATGTAAGACTTGTACTTTATTTAGAATATTCTTCTTTATACTACTTTGGTATTGTACTACTTTCCGAGTATATGAATACCAACTTTATTATATATGCAAGTTATATTTATTATAATGCTAGCTTATCTGGGAGATGCAATGGTGTGGGTATAATGATCGTGTATACGATGACTCTATGTCATGACGATGATATTATAGTAGTATTTGGTAATTTAAGCGTAGTGTTTAAATTACTGGATATCATCATTTAGGATTATATGCTGTGGAAGCGAAGTGGGCCGCTGATGGTGACAGCTCAATACGGGTATTCCTCCGCGCGTGTATATAGTCCTAAGTTAATTTCCTGGGGAGGGTACTCCTCTGTATTTAGCTCCGGTTGGATGGTCATGACGGATTGTCGTAAGGAACTCAGCAATCAGGGATGGCTTCTCGAAGCACCAGGAGAGCATCGGAAAGATGGTATTAGATAAGTAAGGATATAACTAGGATGTATGTATAATATGTATGTATAATATGAAGTATAGGAATAAGATCTTTCTATATTCTTTCCAGTTAGCTTAGATAATTGTGAATAAGAGTATAAATGCTTCTACTTAGTACCACTCTACCCTCTAAATTATATTAACCCATGCTTAGACTTTTGGTTGTTACAAGTAATATATAAATTATTAGTACGGTTCTCTCTATTATAATCTTACCACGGGATTAAACAAATACGATACCCTTGAAATACTCTAAAGTGAAATGCTAGAATGGTATATCCGTGCGCTTGCGGATGAACTCTGTAACCATAATATACCAGAAATATTTCTGCACCATTGCTAGGAATTATATTTCTAGTAATATCGTTAAGAAATACCAACAGTTGTATAAAGGTAAAAAAAAAGAGAAAATTTTAGAACTCATATCTACTATATTATCACACAATCCTCCCGCAGTAACGTGCGGGGTATCCATCTAGTTGATTAAAGGAGGGGTCACTCGTTTAGGCTATCGCGAGAGCACGCACAATGTTAATCGGTTTGCTGTATATATAGATGGCTCTGAAGATTTATTGGTACATCGGAATACTACCCACTACATAACAACACTCGATGAATTTTACTAAGTGCAAGGACATCTCTCTTCTAATAAGGTGATTGTCTTCTGGTACTTTATCGTGTTCTAGCTTGAGGCATACATATTTTCTCTTTGTTTCTCACCAGATGCATATGCCAATATATCACAAATTACAAATACGGTAACCTCAATTATACTCGCTTTCCAGTGTATCAAACTATTAACAGTATTTTTTAGGGTACCTATCAACATGATTGAGGCATCAGTACACTCTCAATTTTGAACATCTACATCTGATTCAAAAAAGTTGTGTGCCAAATCATTGTGGTTTCACTTCATTTCTGGATCTTTCTCTGAAGCAGCTAACACGTATGAGTACATGACCATCAGCAATAAGGCCACATGCCATTAATTAGTTAGTTAGTATAGCATGCTTCAAATAAGACATTCTTACTTCAAATACCTTTTTCTAAAAAGAAAATATTGATTGGACTACAGAAATTCATGAACAAGCCTACCGAAAGAAGCAACTCTCCCATCCACACATATTCCTAGAATTGTGCCTCCCCATTGTTCACATTCCTCTCACAACACATATATTACACTAAATTTTTCACTTCGTGGAGCCCTCTCCAGAACTGAGAGGTCCCCTCAACTGAGCTTTGAAAGAACCATCTTCTTGCATATATTCCCTCAGCTGAGCTTTGAAAGAACCACCTTCTTGCATACTCCCTCCGTCCCATAAAAAACCCAATCCTGGGTTTGAATCTGGACATAGTGTATGTCCAGATTCAAACCCAGGATTGGGTTTTTTTTTGGGACGGAGGGAGTATATTTGAAAGAACCACCTACGGCAATGAATCTGGCGGTGGCAGCAAAGACAGCACCAGCATCACTGTTCTCAATAAGTTACACTCTAGAGCGTTTTGTACAAAATTAAATTTTGCTTATTGAAAAACACAACTTTCACTGTCTAATATCTATTCCATATTTTATATATTCGAGCCTTGTAGGATTTGTACAGATTTCAAAGGAACCTGTTCAGGTATTCATCCACAGTGGTGTACTTCACATCGGGGTAAAGTTCAGTAGCTTCAACTCCAAATGAAGGCTCGATCTCAAAGTTGGTGTGATCCCCCTTCACCCAGACAGAATGGTTGATTGACAGTACGACATTCAACGGTGCTGGGGATTCTGAATTAAAGTCAAATGTCAGGAAAAAATAGGGATAAGCATCTACTGAACATAAGTATTGCACTTGAGAGAACATGGCTGATTCTCACCTTGAATCTTCTTCAGGACTTCATCTTCTGGGATGTACACCCTATCAAATGTCTTGCCAACCTTCTTCTCCCAGAGTGAGACGAGCTCGTTGTGAGACAAAATGTTGCTTGATGGCCTGAGATACAAGATCTTGTTCAGGGTTCTTGGATCATCGACAGCTTTAATAGTGTAGGTACCCACATCCTCCTCTGTGGCAAAGACTCCTGTTTTTGACAAAATAAAAAAAATAATATATGCATTGCAATGTGTCCGTATTTTTTTCTTGTTCAATTTATATCTCGTTGAAAAAAGAGAGATCTTCTGCAGTAAAACAACACACGGTAAGCATAATAAGCACACATGATCAGTTTTACCTTTTACATTTCCATCACCAAGGATGATAACCTTGTCGGTTGGAAGGCCCTTGATCCAGGCCTGTGCCAGACTTGGCAAGAAACGACCAGCAAAGAAGTTCGAGGAGACATATGTGTATGGGATCCCCTCAGCCTCAATTACACGCCTTATACGAGCTTTTGTAGCATACACTGATTTCACAGGCTCAACTGCATGTACATGGTCCACATCATTACCATACTCTGAAGGGAAGAATCTCTGCACAATACTATCCACATTAATCAAAAGGAATGATGGAAACTAGATAGTTAAGCCACCTTTCAAGGATTCTTCAAATGAGCAAGCTCACCACAGTTTCGAGAAAATATAAAAAAATACATCCAGCATTAAATTGTTTGCATGTGAGAGCTTTATTGTGTGGGAAGAGAAAACAGATATTAACCTCTATTAATTAGAATCAGGGTTATTTGTACCAAACAAGGCTAGTGATATCACAACTTAATATTCAAAATCATCCATGAAGGCTATCTTAATGCACAAAGCAACATCACAAGTCATGATAGATGAACGACATACTCTTCAATGCATACAGAAATTTGAAGTATAACAGCCATGAAATGTTTGTAATGTAAGTTTAGGTGGTCACCTTCACATTCCCTGCTTCTTTAATAGCAGAAATAATACGGGTTTGATCTGCTAGTTGCGCGTAACCCACAGCCGAGATAACCACATCAGCAGATTTGATGGCTGCCACCAAACTTTGATGGCCATAAAGATCTCCCTAATTATCCAGCAAAGGAATAACTTTTATATGTCAGCATCAAATCAAATCATACCATGAGGCATAAACTAATCATTGTGGAACCTGAGATATATCATTGCTGTTTAATCTGACAACTGCACTTACTATCAAGAAGGGCATATAAACAATCAGCTCTATGACATTTTACCTGTACTAGACCACGAGCTTTCAGAAGATCTTTTTTGCACATTAGTACATCATAACACACTACGCAGTGAGACAACCCAGTTAAAACCAGAATTCAAGCTTTAACTTGAACATCTGTCTGCATCTGAGACAATTAGTTTGTGGCTTGAACACTGACGAAATCTTGAAAGTCCAAGCAGTTTCTTTTTAAAAGTGTTACTTTGAGTCATGTTTCAAAGCAATGATTTAAACCCCATAACCTCTACTTGGTTCTGAACATTTTACTATTCCCCCTGTTTTTTAATAGTTGACGTCATTAACTTTTGGACATGTTTCACCATGCGTCTTATTTAAAATTTTTGTATTACGTAATCTTTTTAAATGGACATTAGTTAATGGCGTTATCTATTAAAAATGGAGATAGTATTCTACTAATCCACGTATCACCACACTGGTTTTCTTATCTTATTTACTGAAATGAACAGGTTGAAAAGGTTGTTGGATGACTTTTGGAACTCCCATTCCTTCCCTTTCACAAATCTATTAAAAAATCAATCCTCGTTGACAGATAGAAGAAACCAAATCACTTGTCCCATTACTACTTCCTCACCATGGATAATACAATGCAGAATTCATCATATGAACAGGAAACGAAATGGGGAAAAGAAAGAACGAGGAAGGAGCGGCGGCAGCTGACCTTGACGAGGGTGGCTCCGGAGTCCCGGAAGCCCTGGAGGACGGCAGCCTTGGCAGGGTCCGCCGGCGCCGGGTCACGGACGAGGACGGAGGTGAGGTGGTCCTCCCGGGCGCTGGCGGCGACGATGTACCGGCCGATGTAGCCCGTGCCGCCGATGACCAGAACCCTGCTCGGCTCCTTCCCCGCCGCCGCCATGAGAGAAGTTGCGAGGTATAGGCAAGAAGTAGCACCGGAGCTGCTTCGCTGGCTGGCCGGCTAGCTTGATCGGCGGGGGATCGTGCACGCCGACGAGGCAACTATATGAAGCGTCGGGAAGAAGAGGACGACGGCGAACCTAGACTTGTCTGCGTGCCTGGGTCAGGTGTGGATGAATCTGGACAGTGGACACGTACCCGCTTACGGTGGCCCGGACCCCGGAGGCATCGGCACGCCTGGGCGGCTGGGCCTGCCGGAACAGCCTGGCCCGCTTCCTAGTATATTGCGTGGAAATAAGTTCACCGGAGGTCCTCACTTATTAGCGAGATTTTTTTAGGTCCCTTAACTATACAACCAGAAATGTGTACTCCTAAATGTAAATTTTGCAATCTACTAACATGAGTGCTAAGTCTAAATATGATCACCCTTATACGGAATTCTTAGGGTTACTAACCGTTGTTTGAAGCCATTGATGCGCTTTTCCTTGTACCCCCTGCAATGCCGTCAGCCGGAGTGGAAATAGAGGGCACAGTCTAGGGATGGCAATTGTGCCCATTTGCCCGTTTACCCGTGGATAAAAACCCTATTAGGGTTGGGTTTGTTCTCCATTTTATACCCATGGGTTTCTTATTGGGTCAAAAGCTATGCCCGATGGGTAAATGGGCATGGGTATGGGTAATCACTACCCATGCCCGCTTTGCTCGTTTACCCGCGAAATCTAACTTACATGTAGGCTAGGAGCAAAATCCACTAGGATACATAAGCCACGTTCTTTGTTTTCTACGGTTTCCCTTTTATTTCTCTCCCCGTTCCTCTATCGCCACCAGAGGAGAGACACTACACCAAGGCAGAGAATATTTGATGTTTTAAGTTCGATTCGAACTTAGAAGCTTGTAGACTTTTTGTTCCACTGCTTTTGTTGTGGCGGGTAAACGGGCACGCCCACGGGCGATGGGCATGGGCAACAATCCTTACCCGTAATGTAGTAATGGGCATACTCATGGGTACAAATAATCTCACGGGCACGGGTATGGGTAGGCACTACCTGTGCCTGTCGCGCTCGATTGCCATCCCTAGTGAAGTCCCTCGAACTGCTCCAGCGATCATTGGCGTAGGGGAAGTAGTCGTAGCAGTAAGAACGCCAGCTTGATCCTGAAGGGGTCACCGGCGATCACTTGCGGCGTAGCAGCGGCCTTCCGGTCGCCACCTACACTATCCCGGTACAGCCACACTGTTGGTATTTCTTAACGACATTACTAGAAATATTCATTCCCAGCAATGACACCAGAAATAGTCCTGGTATATTTATGATTACAGAAGTAATCTGCAAGTGCACGGATATACCATTGTAGCATTTCGCCCAGAAGTATTCCAAGGTAACATATTTTTAATCCCAAGGGAAGATAATAAGAGTGAACTTTGCTAATGCACTTTATACATATATTACTTGTAATTGTCAAAGTCTAGGCAGGGGTTAAGTTAGGGGTAGAGTGACACGAAGCTGATCAAATCCTCATAATAAAGTAATTCTAACTAAGTGAAAGAAGAAAGAGAAAGCATTCAATTCCTATACTTCTAGTATCCACTCAAATCCTAGTTTACATCTGCTAGTATACAATCGTGTGGCCAATACCCCCTAACAGTGCCCTCCTGGTACTTCGAGAGACCACCTCGGGTTGCCGAGTTCCTTACGATAACCCGTCATGGCCGTCCAACTGGGGCTAAATACGGAGGAGTATCCTCCCCAATAATTTGTCTTAGGATTATATACTAACGTGAAGGAATATCCGTACTGAGCTGTCACTATCAACGGCCCATCTCTACTGTCCCGTAGGATATATGCCCAATTAATGATATTTAATAATCTAAGCACGATGCTTACATTACTAAATACTACTCTACACCCGTGCACATGACATAGAGCAATTGATAAATTAGACATTAAACCCGCACCATTGCACCTCTCTAGTAGGCTACCCACACAATTGGTACGCCACAGATATAAAGTAAGAACCAAAGATATATATAGAAGAGTATTTCATTAATATCGAAAGTATTATAGAAGAGAATACAAAAGTTGCTTGAGCCATACCAAAACTCTTCCGAAGACTCCGAGGACTCCGAATACTATTATATTCTACTCCACTTAGCACTAAAATACTAATACTAACGTATGAAGAGGAATTTAAGCTTGCTTGAGTGTGTTGTGAAGTAAAGTGAGCTCCTCTTTTTATAGGGTCGGTATGACGGTTACTGGCATGCGAAATGTCGATTTTACCCTCGTAACCGTCATCAGCATGTGATCCTAGACGCCCACGTGTAAGGCCAGCTGGAGCCGCAATTGCTAGGGTTTGGCCGAACCTGAGCTAGCCCAATAGGCCCCCAAGTTTGGCAGGGTGGTTGACATGTGGGTCCCAATGACGGTTGTGGCAGATTAGGCGGTTTTCGGCGGTTACACCTGTCATGTGGGCCCTCCTTATCCATTTGCTTGCTTAGGAGTGAGGTTCTCTCCACTTTCTCTTTATTTTATTTGATAAATTCCTTCAACATGTTATTCTCCTTGTACAAGTGGAACTATATTATTTGAAAACAAATATGTATTGCAAGTATAAGCTAATTCTCTATTATTTTAGTTATATTGACAGTCGAAATTTGTTTACGACGACCGTCAACAATGGCGGCCACCGAGGAGGCTCCTCAAGCGGCCGGGGATCCTCTTTCTTCCCCTCCTCTCCGTCGTCGTTGCCGTCAGTGGAGTAGATGAGAAAAATAATTCCCCATCTTCCAGCATTTCTCCTCCACCGGGCGGCTGCTTCCTCTCTCACCCTGCGTGGGCGCAGGTCGAGTTAGCGACAGCCAACTCACTAGCTCACCGGTGGATAGGGGGTTGTTGGTGGAGAGGAGGGGAGAGGCGGCCCTAGGATCTCATCATCGTCAGCAACAGGAAGGAGGAGAAAAAAGAAAAGGGATTTTTTAGTGGGCCCCACCTATTGGTTGGTCTCTACACTTGTATGTGACCACCGATGGTCCACCGTGGCATGCCACGTGGGCAAGACCACGGTCAAATGAAGTTTTGGACCGGAATGATACAATAAACCAAGTTAAAGGATCTTGATATGCGATTTGTAAGTTCGTAGACCTAGGTGAAATCTGCTTATGAGTTTAAGGACCGCTGGTGCAATTCACTCTATGAACAAAGTACACACACATTTGCAGAAATGCTTGATCGTATGTTTTGAGCTAAAACTGTTAATCCATACAAATTTTGACATAAATGCTTGATCGTAGAGTTCTATTTGCATCTAGCTCACGCAGGAATTTGGTGACAGAAATTTTGATACGCCACACAATCCATAGCCCGGGTGGCCGGATGATGGATCGTGGCGGCGTGGGCGTGCGAGTTGCGACCCCTGTTTGGCAATTGAAACGGACTGGTCCAGTGAAGTGCAGACTGGAACGCTCGTGCCTGCTGCAGCTTCTGCGTGTGCCGATCCAGTTCACCCACGTCTCGGCATCGCCAGCCACGGAATCCCTCTGTCTCGCAGAGGCAAATCCGCCCGGCTGGTCGGTCCGTCCGCCAAACGACGCGACTCCTCTCGAGCCGAAGAAAATGGCCATGCGGCAATACGCGGCTGCTACCGCTGCCTCCTCCAGTTTCAGAGCACGTCCACGGGCGCGCCCCTCCTGCCTCCCAGCCGCCGCCCTGCCCTTGGCGCCTTGCTGTGGTGTGGCGTGGAGCCGTGCTAGCTACAGGCGAGCCTCCGTTCGTGCCATGGGTGCCGCTTCATCGTCTTCGTCGTCGTCGTCGTCGTCTCCGTCGCCGCAGGGTCAAGCCCAAGCCCAAGCCCAAGGTGCCGTGTGGTGCTTCACCTTCTAACTTCTTTACCTACCTAGTGGGAGCCCGTTGTTGCCTGCTTCCTTTGGATGCAAGGGAATTATTCGCGAGTGGAAATAGAAATTGAATTAATGGTGATTAGTTTGTATGTGCATTCGATGCAAACAAGGAGGGAGTTTGATTGATCTTAAAAGATCTGCTGTAGGCCGTTTCTATGTCTAATTCTTTCCGCATTTAAGAACATTTTAGAAAATTACTAGACCGTAATTCGGGAGTGAAGCCCCTATTGCCCGCTCAAGTTTGCAACTAAGACATTTTTATAAGTTAGCTACATAGATCCTGAGTGGTTTTAGCTATTTTCATTCAAACAGTTATATGTTACTCACAAGTGTATTCACCAGTCAATAGTGCGGACATTCTTTATAGGTGTGAATTTCGGACTGTGTACCTCAAAGACAAAAAAAAAAAAAGAAAGAAAGAAAGAAAAGAATTCTGTGTTTTAGTTCAGAGTACAGAACATATAGTATAAACACACATCAGTTACAAATCTAAGGTAATCTTAAGAGAATTGTGCATTCTTGCTATATCCTGGTAGAGCCTTACAAGCATTTGTATGCAGTGAGTCACTGAGCTGACTAGTATCGATTTTGTCTATGCCAGCAGCTCCTTCTTTTATAGTTTGTTAGAACAATTGATCTTCAGGGTTCACAATGTGGAGCAAATCTTTAAGAGAATAATGCATTGATGTTCTGCTTTCTTATGGAGCAAATGCTTAGAATGCCGCCTGGCTTGAAGATATTTTTTTATCATACGCTCTTAACTCTGAAGTACTCCAGATCTGTATGTAGCCAGGTTCCAACAATTGTTTCAATTCTCACTAATAGCCAAATATTCATTTCTTCTGAGGCAGGTAAACCGAACTACAGTACATCTCTGACTGATGAGGAGTGGAGGAAGCGCCTGACAAAAGATCAGTATTACATTACTCGGCAGAAGGGCACAGAAAGAGCATTTACTGGGTACGATTGCTTTACACTCTAATCCAAGTATAATGTGTAGTTGCACACCATGTCATTTTGGTCTTGTGTTTTTTGTTATGTAATCAGGGAATACTGGAACACCAAAACCCCGGGCATCTACCATTGTGTCTGCTGTGACACCCCTCTTTTTGAGTAAGCACTCCTCCTGATTGTCATGTCAGAGCAGAAGATTGTTCTTTCATATAAGCTAGAGATAGTAGTTTCGATTTGCACCAAAACAATAGTATTATAGTCTGCTCATTATTCTGCATTACTGCTTTCTGGTGGTCTTAGGTCATCGACCAAATTTGATAGTGGTACTGGGTGGCCGTCATATTATCAACCCATTGGAGATAATGTAAAGTGCAAGCTTGATATGTCCATCATATTCATGCCTCGGACTGAGGTGCTGTGTGCTGTCTGTGACGCTCATCTGGGGCACGTGTTTGATGATGGGCCACGACCAACAGGGAAAAGATACTGTATCAATAGGTATATGTGAGATTTTCTTCACTTGTTATCAATTGTTCATAGGCCTCATTTGAAATCTGAACAGAAACATTGTCTCCCATATCTACGAAATTATTTTTTTTGAGGGGTATCTACGAAATTAACTGTTTGCTTAATTTTCCCACTAACATTTTTCCCATTGTTCAACTCCGGTAAGTCCCAGATTAGTTTCTAAGTAAACTTCCGTGCATATATACATAGTAGTACCATAGCTAATATCTGTCTCATATGTGTTGCATTGCACCGAAGGACCTTTCTATACATGTTCTTTTGGTTGATACATGACTGCAGAGTTGCAGCTTGCCAACAGTGGATCCAAAGGCCCACACGTGTATAGGTGCCAATTACAACTGAATGCACTCTGACCAAATCTTCAAAAAGGAAAAAAAAAACTGTCCTTACGTATACCACTGCTTGAAAGAGAATCACATTTTCTTTTACAACAGATGAAATATTTTACTAGGGCATGGTTGCCATGAATTAGTTTATAAAATTTAGTAGCATCCAGTGAAATAGAACCGCCTTTTAATTTATATTTCCTAGATAATGGTAATTTCACTAGGCAAAAGAAAGCATTCAGCTTCTGCACAAAGTGCATATAACCAACAACACCACGACACACACAAAAGAAGGAACCGTCTTTAGTCGATGAGATTGTTTGCTCACTGTTTTATCCTTCTTACTTGCAGCGCATCTCTCAAGCTGAAGAAGACCCAGTAGACCTGTGAAGATTATGGTTACCATGTACCTACACGGCTACACTATCCGACTAGTTATAAGGGATAGATTATGTATATAGAATATGTAAAGAATTAAGACTTGGGTATTATGTTTACTTGTGTATCAAGGAAATGACGTGTAGTCCTAGTTCGGTAAGATTGTAAAGTAGTTGTAGGAGATTTAAACCATATTAACTTAAATCTCTATCTTATAAACCTGTCTCCTCCGTCTATATAAGGAACTAAGATCGTCAGATCAATACAACAACCAACGGATACAATCCCCAAACAGGAGTAGGGCATTACTTCTTATCGAGAAGGCCTGAACCTATATAAACCCTTGTCTCATCACCCATCCACCTTAGATACTTTGCGCAACCCACTTTTCGTATTGCCGAATTCTAGTTTTGACAGTTGGCGCGCTAGGTAGGGGCTGCATCAAGTTTTCTCGCTGACAAGTGCGATGGATTCTCCTTCGGGTATCGATGACTTCGTCTTCTCTCCTGGGCAGGTGTTTCGCTTCGGTAGCCTCAAGTTCATCATGGACGACTTCGGCAACATTTTTCTCCTTGACTCGGATTCGAACCAGTCGGGACGGAAAAACCACTCGGCTCCATTTGGACTCCCAAACGCAGCCGAGATCTACTCCAAAGTTTCTTTCTTCGAGATGGCTTCAAATCGCTCGGGGGAATCTTCAACAAAAACTCCTTCGCGTGGCCTCCTCGATAGGACGCCGGCATACAATCACCTTGCGACTTCTACCCCTTCTCGAAGTGACATTTGGATCTAGATCTGTTTCCCCCTGTAGTTCCCGATCTAATCTAGTCTCGGCTCAAATCAGATCAGGCTACAGGGAGGTCGGTGTCCTGCTCCAGCCACTTGGATCTTGCTCGTCTACTGAGATCGTTGACTACTTCAGCTCTTCTGACAAGATCGACGACGCCAGCATAGAGACTGTAGACAGCTCCGAGTTTAACGATGGCTATACACCCCTGTCTTCTTCAACGTTTTCATGGCCAATGTCGAGACCGACACACAGATGGCCTAGAGAATTGCTGAGGTGGAAAGGGTCAGATTAGAGCGTTGAGAGAAGAGGAAGAGCGCAAGCGCAAGGAGGAAGAAGATTGTAGACTGCGGGAGTTGGCCGCCGCCGGGCAAAGAGTTTGCCAGGTTATAGGTCAAACACGCATTGACGACACCAATGTGTTCCTTACACCTCAACAGAATGCCGTCATGGTTGTTACCTTGATTGTCTTAGATGCCGCTCCAGTCAACGTCGCGCCAATCTTGAACAAGGTGAAGACCATGGTCGCGGCCTCCATCCCACGCAGCTCCGGAAGCAGTTGGCAAGGCAACGAATCTACAACACAGACCCCTATCGGCAGCCGCCTACCGCCATTACGACCTACAAATTACCGAGAGCCTGAGAGTAGTAGGGCCAACTCTCATCAATGCCATGAACATACGTGGCGTCAAGACCAGTCGGCCGACACGCCGACTGGTCACCACAACCAGCCCCTTATTACAACAGGGATCGCAGGGCTGATTCCGACTATCAGAGCACTTCAGGGCACTAGCTCCTAGCAACCTAAGGAACACTCTCAATCAGCACTACCACGAGAGAGAAAACAATGTCAACCGCTATTGACCCCGACACTCTCCCGACAGCGGTGATGAGGGAGTTGTAGCCTTCACCAGATACATGCATCGAGTGAATTGGCCGAGTGGTTTCAAACCCACTGGGATTGAGAAGTATGACGGTAAGACTGAAACCGAGTCAGGGCTTACCATCTACACTCTCGCAATTCACTCGCCTACGAGTCCAAGAGGAAGCAGAAGCTAATCGACAGAGAAATCAATGCAGTTCAGCTCGAAGTACCCAATATCAATGGTGGTCTGATGTATCAATCATGTTCGACCACTCGGATCATCCTGACCGAGTGGTCCACCCGGGGCGGTACCCCCGGTACTAGACCCAGTGGTTCGCAATATCAAGTTGACAAAGATGGGTGAAAACCATCTGATATGCCTGGTATTCCTAGAGAGGTGATTGAGCACTCTTTAAATGTTAGAGAAGATGTGAAACCTAACAATCAATTACTTCGCTGCTTTAGTGCTACTTTTCCATCAATTGCATGTTTCACGGACTGTACATGACACTACCAAGTAGAAACCGCTCCGCCCTCGACCAAGCAAGGGCTTTCTGTTGTTTTATTGCAGTAAGTTAAATAATACAACTTAAAAGGGGTATCACCATCTCCCATTCCTTTAGGAGAAGGAGGGACTGTGGGAAGATCAGCTAGTAGCAACATTAGGTAGAATTTGTTTGTTAGATATACTATATCTGGTATGTTTGAAAAGACTTATAAATCAATAAATCATATCATGTTATCAGAAAGTAACATAGCCACGAAACCTTAGGTAGCTTTCCATCATCTGGGTGCGGATTGGCTCCCAAACCATCTCCACCAAAGACAAACCTACCGGGGGACCAACGGCAAGGACCTCACGAGTAGAATGGTGCCTTTAGTGAGCTGACATACACTGCGGCCGTCCTTTCCAACCACAACCTAAACCAATTCTCGGGGATTACATTTGTTTTAAGGGGGATAGGTTTGTAACATACCCAAAATATTGGACAACAAAATTTGCATCTAAAACTTTTGAATCTTTTTTCCTATTTAGAAATCCTAAAATTTTCCACTTAAGACCTAGATAAGGTTAAACCAACATGTTGGCAACTTTTTGTAACAAGTTGACAAGCACGATCGCAGCACCTAAACGCCTTGCGGTGATCTTAGAGTCTCCAACCACCTCAATCTAGCCAAAGCTAAATCAAGATGGGTTTTGATAAACTAAACCAGCTAGCGGAGCCGATATAGATAGAACTATGGATAAATACCCGTCTCGTGAGCAAAACGGAAGGTTTTCAGGACAAACCTACAAAGAGGTGTCGCACTCTCGCAGTGGCGGCGGACGATTTACGGCGCAAATCGACAAAGATGGACAAACTAAACTAGAACTAGAAACAAAAGCAAAATAACGATTCGATTGATTGATAGTTGATTGTTTGTTTACAATTGAACCGGCCTTGTCCCTTATATAGGGGTTGGTTTTGCCCTCTACAGGCCCTCCTCCATGTCCAACTCGAGCTAGAAACAGATGGAAACACGAAACATACCTTCCCGAGCAAGGAAACCCGAGACCCGACGAATACGGAGTCTGACTCGGACTCTGCCGGTCAGACCGGCCACATGCCGGCGGTCTGACTGGCCCACCGGCAGCGGTTTGACCGGCCAACACACGGTGGTCAGACTGGCCCTCTCAGAGGAAAATCGGTAGATCGTCCAAATTTTGGCAATTTCCCTATTTTAATCCTAGGTGCCAAATTTGGGTGTAAGCACATGCCCCCTGCCTTTTTGATGAACAACGTGAATATAAAAGCATAGTACATGTTTTGGTCTTTGGGCGATAATCCAATTACCGGCCATAGAACTTCTTAAGTATCTTGCCAAATGCTCGGGAAGTATTTCTTCAAGTATTTCCCGTTAATTGCTTGCTGAAAACACTCTCCTTGAAGTGTCTCCAAAAAATATGCGTTTCCTCAAACAATGCCGCATACTCGATAAGGACCCTCCCAACTAGGAGACCGCTTACCGAACTCCCTGGATCGAGTACCCAAAGGCAAAATTGTCTTCCACACCAAGTCTCCCACTTGAAACAACTTTGCTTTCACCCTTTTGTTGTATGCTTTGGCCACCCTCTTCTTGTCTTTCTTTATCTCTTCCAAAGCCTTCAAACGCTTGTCGATGACTTCATCAAGATTGTCTCCTATAAAGGTCTTGTAATCTTCGCTTGACAAATCATCTTGCTTGATAAACCGAAGAGAGCCAAGATTTACCTCAACCGGCAAAATGTCTTCTTAACCATACACCAACTCAAAAGGAGAGTGACTTTAGTGGCACCATGTTTGGATATCCTATGCGCCCACAATGCTTCAGAAAGCACTTCATGCCACTTCTTTGGGTGTTCCTCAATCTTCTTTTTGACTAGCTTCAACAACGTCTTATTACTCGACTCTGCTTGTCCATTAGCCTGAGCGTTGTAAGGAGAAGAACTCAACAATTTAATACCATAAGATTCAACAAAACTCTTCACTTCCTTAGACATAAAAGAAGCTCCTTGATTCGTAGTCAATGTTTGCGGGATACCGAATCTATGGACAATATGCTTCAAAATAAAGTCAATTACCTCCGTATGAGTCATATTCTTGAGCGGCACGGCTTCGGCCCACTTGGTGAAGTAATCCGTAGCAACTAGCATGAACCTATGCCCCTTTGATGACGAAGGATAAATTTGACCAATGAAATTCAAAGCCCAACCTCGGAACGGCCATGGTTTGATGATAGGATTCAGTATGGCGGCAGGCGCCAATTGAACATTGCCAAGCCGTTGACAAGCTTCACATCTTCTATAATATTTGAAACAATCTTCGATCATCCTCGGCCAATAGAACCCTTCTCTCCTAAGCAACCAATTCATCTTATGGGCCGATTGATGAGTTCCACAAATTCCTTCATGTACCTTTCCCATAGCAACTTTAGATTGATCATCATCTAAGCACTTCAATAACACTTCATCTATGTTTCGGCGATATAAATCCCCATCAAGCAATGTACATTTGAACGCTTGCCGCCGAATCTTTCAATCAACCTTAAGCGTAGGATCTTTCAAATATCTAATCAAAGGAATTCTCCAATCTTCTTCTGTCTCCTGGACACAAATGTCCGAATTTACAATTAATTTGGCCTTTGAATCAATTATAACGTGCCCCCCAGCTCTCTGCCCAAAACCGGTCAGACCGGCCATGCAAGGCCAGTCAGACCGCTCGGGGTGGCCGGTCAGACCGACGGTATACGGCCAGTCAGACCGCCCCTAGTCACCGGTCAGACTGGCCGTGCAACGTCGGTCCGACCACCCCTGGTCTACGATTTTGCTAATTTCACTCAAAGGTTTAAAATCAAGCACTGGCTGTTCTAATATCAGAAATACTCCCCTCTTAACATTATAGCCAGATGCTTGTTGTGCTAAGTCATTTGTCTAATAGCAAAATTATCAAAATTAGCAATAATATTCAAGCATTGATCAAGATACGTATTTAGTGACCCGTCCAAACATTTGTAAGCTCCGATAACTTGTTGCACCACCAATTCCGAATCACCAAATGCTTCCACGTGT